CTCTCTCTCTTTCATTATCCTGCTCTCTTCTCTCTCTGTCTCTGTTTTTCTCTTTGTCTTCTTCCCTTTCATCATCTTCCTCTCTTCTCTCTCTCTGTCTCTGACTGTGTCTGTCTCTGTTTTTCTCATCATTCTGAACCTGTAACGTGCTTTTACTTACAGTGTTGAGAATTGTGTGTGCTGGTGTTTCTGGAGGAAGAGAGGGAGGACAGATGTTAGAAGGTATAAACCCTATTGACCCATTTAATTCTGCTAGTACACAGCTAACCGGATGAGAAATCAGATCCACACTGTAATTCCAGCTACAAAAAGTGCTCAATTCCATTGTTATTTCAGTCTTGGATTCCCTTTCTGTGAAAGTGATAATAATGGTTCTGCTTCCTCTTTCATGGAGTAGTGGAAAGGAAAGGACTCTGAAAACCTTAAGACATTATATAAATACGAGCTTTTATGCTCAAATCCCTGTCCCTAGGGAGGGAGTGGTTGGCAGAATTGAGAGAGAGCACTAAGCTTAGAGTTAGGAAGAGCTGGATTTGAAGCCTACCTCAGGCACCCTGTGGCCATGAGCACCTGAGCCTCAGTTTCCTCATGTGAAAAATGGGGATAATAATAATTCCTCTAATACCAATCTCATAGGACTGTGGTAAAGTTATGTTCTTGCCAGAATCTGGGAATTAGGACAACATGATCACATTTCAAAATAAGTAAGTTTTGGGGGGCTGACATAATATTTAGTTATGTTTGATGGAATGGTCCTTGAGTATCTTTCTTTGAGGCTGATATATGGAAAACTGATTGAAGAAAAATCATCAGAGCAAACAAACAATAAATGGTCATGACACCAAGGCGATCGTATGACCCTAAACATGTTTCTTCTTCTTGAAGCGTTATCGGTTATCAGTGTACATAAACATCCATCACTGGAGGATGGCATCCTTTTAGGAGAGATGAATCTGTAGGCTTTGCCTGGTAGAGTTGGGCAATCTTGGCTGTCCAATTGATGCTTCACAAGAGTTGTTGTTGAGAGGGAGAGTAGTTATACTGGTTCGGAACCCTTGCCTACAGAATTTAAACAGCACCACGCCAGCCTTAGGAATATAGCTCATTAAAATAATTACTCTGGGTTTGTGGTGATGGATTTCAGCTTACCTGTCTCATAGGACCTCATCTGCATAAATTAAATGAGCTAAGTAATTTTTATTTGCATCTAAATGAATGGGCATTTGTAATATAAGTAAGTAGAGTAAATATTTTAATCTGAAACTATCTGTGAAGGAAAACCATATAAAACACCTTGGTATCTAATGGGGAAAGAAGAAAAGGTGGGCAATATAAGGAGAAACAAGCTGTAGTGATCCTCTTTTTGAGACAGAATGCTAAGGTGAGGCAACCAGGGCTTTGTCCAGGATAGGAAATTTAAAGAGTTGCTGATAGTGTAGTCCTCTCAGGAAAGAAGTAGTGGAGGATCCTGATGGTGGTGGAAGTAGGCAGAGCTGTGACAGGTAAAGCCAGTGATAGGAGCGGCTTAAATATCTCTCAGGTTCTTCAGATGAAGAAGGTATGAAGGCAAGGTGGGCAGTGAGACTCTGGCTCTTTTGTAAGGTAGGTATAAGGGGGGAGGCCTGGTCTGGACCCAGTAAATGTTTCTCCTCAGTGTCGATTCCCATTTAGAAGTTCCTTTCAGTACATCTCATTGTCTTGGGAGAGGAATTAATACAGCTGCCAGGTTACCTGTGGAACAATGGCTATCTGGAAAGCAAACCTACTTCCCACATCCATCCACATTTAGGTGGGGGAGGGTGTTCAATCTTGGGAAGTTGGCTAGGGAAGGAGGAAAGGGGCTCAGTCCCTGACTGAGAGGGCCATGCCTTCCTGACGATATCTGGGTCTCCTTAATTCTAGGAACTTTTTTATTCCCTTGAAGTTTTGCTTCTCATTTTCCTACTTTCCCGCAGAAATGGGCATAAGGACTGGATTAAATGTATGGTTGAGGACATCCTGTGAGACAAGAAGGGGCCCCTTTGAGAATGGACTACCCTGGGGAGTTGGAAATATTTTACCAGGCCTGGGAGCCAAAGAACTAGCCCCTTAATCCCTACTGGAGAGCTATCCCTTCCTAGGGATGCCTCTGTCAAACATTTTGCTTTCTCTAAGTATCCAACCTTTTCTGAGGAATGATGTACATGGATGTGGGTAAGTTTGAGGCCACAGTACACTTGGAAGAACCAAGGAAAGCCCCTTTTCCTTCTAAGATGTTAATCACGAGACCAAGGGTTTGGAATGGCCAATGCCCCAGACACTCAGAGAAGTCATAGGTTCATGGCAGGCAGAGAGTTCCCAGAATAAGTTAGGAATCTTGGATTCTAGCTTCTCCCCTGTCATGAATTCTGGGTCTCTTTTCCACCTTCCATAACGTAATAGTAAGGGTTCTCCCTTGCCTCCTTCTTGATACTAGACCATGCATATCTCCTCCACACACCTGAGATGTCTTTCATGCTGTTTGTATATATACAAAGATTCCTAATTATAGTCCTTCCCACGGTGTGTGGGTTTGCAAAAGTATTGGGGTCCCAATTTAATCTGACTTTGCCTAAAATTTATGAGGCTAATTCTTCCCTCCCTTTCTCCTTCTCTCCTTCCTTCATTTAATTTAATCAATTAATTGTGTATGGACCTCTGATTTTATGTGTGACAGAATTCTAGGTGCTAAAACTCCTTCAATGTTTTCAGAGCATCAGCTCCTTGTAACATTTATAGTCTTAGAGTTTTCTGGGGCAGTGAGAGGTCAGGGTCATACCATGGTTCGTATGTGTCTGAGATAAGACTTGAGGCCAGGTCTTCCAGAGTCTAAGACTGGCCCTTTACTTACTGTGAACTGCTGCTTCTGTCAGGTTGCTATTGTTTATAAATGAATAATTATGGAGATGGACAGATGTTTAGTTTTTTTTTTTTGTGAGGCAATCAGGGTTAAGTGTCCCCTGTGTGATCCAGGGTCACACAGCTAGTAAGTGTTAAGCATCTGAGGCCAGATTTGAACTCAGGTCCTTTTGATTCTGGGGCTGGTGCTTTACCCACTGCGCCACTTAGCTGCCCCAGATGTTTAGTTTTTAATTAATATTGATATTCTTGTCCTTTAAACATAAATGTACAACTTGCTTGACTTCTGGATGATTTTGAATCGCCTCCATTTTGAAAGCATTGGGAATCAATTTCTGACTATCCATACAACTTCCTTTCATCTTTAGATTTAGACTCAACAGGTTCCTAATAGAAGAATTTCCAATGAAAATTAGCAGCAAGGTGGCACAGCAAATAGAATGTTAGATTTAAAGTCGGGAAGAATTGTGTTAAAATCCTGCCTTAGATACTTGCTATCTGTGTGACTCTAGGGAAGTCACTTAACTGCTGCTTGCCTCAGTTTCCCCATCTGAAAAATGGGGATAACAGTAGCATCTACTTTACAGGGTTGTCATGAGGATTAAATGAGACAATATCTGTATTTTGCAAACAAATTTTAGCTGTTTTATTTTTTGTTGTTCAGTTGTTTCAGTTGTGTTCAACTCTTTATGACCCCACTTGGGGTTTGTTGTTAACATGGGATCAGTGGAGCATGGTACAGTGGCAAGAAGGCTAGATTTGAGGTCAGAGGGCCTGACTCTGAACATTAGGCTTTGCTACCTCCTGCCCATGAGATTTTGGGCAAGTCGTCTCTCTGTAAAAGCAGGGGGTTAAACTAAATTGCCTTTGGCCCTTTCCAGCTCTACATCTTTATCGGGGTATGTGTGGTCCTGGAGAATGTATGGATTGCAGCATGATTATAGATACCAGGGAATGAAGAGAAAGACAGAGCATTGAGAAGGAAGTTCGGCATCTGCCTTTATGATGGAGTTTCCAGAAGGGGAATGTGTGTGTTTCTTGACATGGGGGTGGATATTCTACCATAGAAATCACAGAATTAGAACTGAAAGGGAGGAACAGAAACCTCCCAGTGTGATTCATTCCCGAATCATGCATTCCATCTACAACATCTAGGACAAAGGGTCATCCATCCCCCACTGATGTGGAGGGGAAACCGCATCTCCATAACCTGTTCACTTCCACAACAACCCTGATTGTTAGTGAGCTTTTCCTTATTTTGAATTGGAATTGATCTCCCTGGAACTTCTGTCTGTTAATCCTAGTTCTTACCTCTGGGACCAAAAAGAAGACATCGAATCCCTCTTCTATTTGACATCTCTTAAGATATGAAGACAGCTCTCATATCTCCCCCAACCCAAGTCTTCTCTTTTCCAGGCTAAACATCCTCATATGACATTTTTAGACCCACTAATTCCTTTAGATGTGCTTTACTTTTGTAAGGTAGAGAAGGAGATATTCAGGGTAAAAGATGATGGAGAAAGCTTATGATTTTGTCATAAGAAAAAGAGTGTCCATTCATTGCAAGGAATTTAGGACAACCTAGAAGTTTCATTGTTGTTCAGTCATTTTTCAATTGTGTCCAACTCTTTGTGACTCCCTTTGGGGTTTTCTTGGCAAAGATACTGAAGTGCTTTGCCATTTCCTTCTCCAGCTCATTTTACATATGAGGAAACTGAGGCAAACAGGGTTAAGTGAATTGCTCAGGGTCATGCAACTATTAAGTATTTGAGGCCAGATTTAATGAGTCTTCCTGACTCCAGACTCAGTACCCTAACCACTGTGCCACATAGCTGCCCTATTAAGAGTACTACGAGTCTTCAAGTAGCTCTAAAGCTTTTTAGATTTAAGCCTTTCCAGGCTATATAAGATAAAGGAGAGAATATGCACATAAATTCTTGTAAGTAACCACTCAGCCCTGTTACTCCTTTGGAAGAGATGCCCACTTTTGAGGCTGAAATAGTATTGAGTGCTACATGTTTTAGCAGAAAATACTGTAAATGCTAGTTCATGAATAGCTCAAAATACATGCTTGGGGCAATGTCTATCTCCATGTTTGCAACAACAAAAGAGACCAAAGTAAGCACATTTTCCTTTAGTTTATGTGATCAAATAGGATACAAATACACAGTTCTTCAGATAACATAGCATTAAATACCAGGAAGAAAAGCTAAAGTGTACTCCAAGCAAAATTTATTAGAAGTCTATTCAAGAAAAAAACACAGACCTTTGCTTGTAAGAATTCAATTACCTGAAAGCCAGGTATGAAAAAAAATTATTTCCCCCCTTCTTTTTTAAAATCAAATACAGAGTAGAAACAGCATTTTTCTTAAATATTACAGGCAACAGATATTGAAGTCTTTTATCATAAATGGCATCAAAGGTAGTTATAGTCATCCCTCAGCAAAGCTGCATGCGGCTGACCTAGCTGTGAGCCCCAAAACCTTTGCGATAGAAATCTTGTCATGACTGCAGCATTAAGAAGGGTAGGCTGCAAAAAGGTGTTTACCTTTAGACTAATGACATTTCTCTGTAATAAAGATATATACATACATTTCAATTTGGCTGCTAAGACCATTTTTAAAAATTTATAAAATTTTGCATAAATGCCAAAGAATTGCACTCTCAAAGTATGCATCATGATCTGTGAGCCAGGAAAACATGTTGAAAAATTTTTCTTCAGTTAGTATAAGTATGGGATGACGACTGAAAAGGAACTTTTTTTTTCCATTTGTTACTCAACAACTAAATGGTTCTGTACAAAAGAGAGGCCAACATATGTACAATATTCTAAAGGCTACGTCCGTTGTGGGGGAAAAAAAAATCAACCACTGACCACAGGTGAAAAGCCATTAAAAGCCTGTCATTTATAAGGTGCTGAAGAATCCAAATATGAACAGCTCTTGTGTAAAGTCATAAGAACTCTTAAGCCAGGTCTCTGAGTAAGTGTGACAGAGGCATAATTCACTGTTATTTGTTCTTGTGGGTTCTGGTTACCAGTTAATTACCATTTAGTGCGGTCTTAGGCTCACCATACTTTGGAACTAGAATTTAGATGATCTGGAACAAACCCTTCATTGAGCCAAGACTCAAACCTAGGTCTGACCCCAATGCCAGTCTTCTTTCCAGGACCCCATCCTGATAAATTCCAAGACTTGGGACTCCCAAGGTACCCAATTTATGCTTGGGAAAGAATTTACACAAATACACACACTGGGAGACTCAGGCTTAACATACTCCTGTCTTCTAATACAGACACTATTTGGACTTGAACTTTTGCAGAAATAAAATAAGTGGTGCATTCAAATAATTGCTTTTGTTCATCAAAGGAAAAAAAAAGCAAAGCAAAAACCAGGATTAATACTTCTGATGTTTCTGAAGTGCTATATGTATATATATATATATATATATATAATATATATATATGTATATATTATATATATATATATGTTCATTTTTGTAAAATAACGCGTGCCTTGGGAGTCTAACATTTCCATAAATGTGCAACATATGCATATATATTGTATGTTCATATACAATCATGCATGTATATGTGCACACACATATGCAGTATAATAAAAATAAAACCAGTACATAACTCTTGAAGATGCCTTCTCAAGCATCTTGTTCAAGGGTCTATGTTCAAATGAATCCTTGCACTAACACTGCTTTTATTTAAAATTTATCTGATAAATAAAACACTAACATCTCATAGTTCATGTTGTTGATTATTACATTTTTAAATATAAAATAGCAATGCATCTTTAGAATGCAACTTTATTTTTGCTGTCCATCTTTCACCTCTTCTTTTTTCATGGTTATTACTGGAGTTGTAAATTTTCTTACCATTTATGCTTTTAAAAAGTTAAAAAAAGAAAACCCAAACCAACAAAAAGCCGAATTCCCCAACCCTGCAGGAAAACACTCCTATTGGAAAACTCAGATTCGATAGTGAAATCATACTTGTCCAGGTGAAGGTTCCTACTCTTGCTGGAGATTTTACAATCGCTGCGCGTGTTATAACCAGTAAATGCAGGCAAACAATCACTGGATTAGAGTTAAAATACATTATCAGCTAGAACAACAGGCAAACTTGTGATGCAGCAAAGTGAAAGTAATGTATCCTGCCAAACTAAAGAAGTGGAAATGCAAACATCAGCTTGTCTTAAGGAAATGCTATCTTCAGCTGCCTCAGGGGGAGGGCCTAAGAAGCTTATCTCCTAGAGCCTTTGATTAGAGGACCAGAAAAGCCTTTCTCTATGGGATGCTTCTCTTTTGGTCTCCCAGATTTCATCCATTTTGTTTCTAAGAACAATACAGCTCCAGGTTCTGTTTTTGTGTTTCCAATTGTAAACGTTTAAAGCAGGTGACAAGAACAAGTACAGTTTACAGCAAAACCCTCCAGCCCCTTCTCCTAAAGGTGTCATGGTGGCTGTAAAAACTGTACTGCAAGGATGGAGATGGTGATGATGATGCTTAGAGCCTTCTGTTTGTGAAGCATGAAAACAGAAGGCCTAGGGGAGCATGTTTTCCAAGGAATTTTATGTGGATATGTTGCTGAAATGCGGCATAAATAAGTACATAAAAGAATTCACAGCCTCTTGACATAGTTTCCGGGGAAAGTACCAAAGAATTTGGTTCTTCTTGAGGTTCCTGAAAGTAAGAAGCAAGAAGTGAAAGGGGACAAACAATGAACCATCACCACATGCATGGGGCCTTGAAGACACAGTTCCCACATCTAAGGCCTTGCTGGTGGTACAAACACCAGAGGCTTTGAAGAAGAGGAAGGGAAAATCCATTTTAAGACTAAAGAACAACCCAGTAATTAGGTTCTCTGTGTTGCTTAATGTGAGGGGCTGAGTGAGCCAAGTGACTATGCTGTATTACCATTAAATTGTACTCATTGGAAACATAACAATTTGGCAATCACTCAGATTCTAAATCCAAGTGAATTGCAATTAGATTTCAGGTATGAGGTTGGCCCTCAACAGTAGGGAGGGATGGCACTTCCTTATTGGCTGGAAAATAGGGGATAGGGGATAAGGAAGAGGGAAATGGGAGAAGTAATGGAGGTATATCTTAAAGCTATATATTCCAATGCAATTTTCCAAATGAGGCGTGAAGCTTGCAGAGTGGTGGTCTACAGCAGGGAGGTATAAAGAGTAATGTTTGGTTATGTAGGTAAGAGGGTAACTTTCTCTCTCTAACTTAAAAATAATAGGGATATCAGATGAATATTAGTATCCAAGTAAATGCTTTTGTCACGTTACTCAGTTTGCTGAAGGTCATATCCTTCATTAAAAATCTCACTTGCTCAAACTCTTAACAAAATAGATTAATTTTTAACAGGTTACACCAAGCCACCATATAAATGAGAAAAATGGACTATTTGGGGGTTGAGGAGAAAAGGCATCACCAGTGGGTATGATGTCTAAGTTATTAAAAATATTTCCATGCAATATTTAAAATGAATGCTAAAAGGGTATTCACTATCAATGCATTTGGCCTCACGAACATACCATCAAAGAACCTTTTAAAAATAGCAGATGCAATAAGTAATATAGAATTTCCAACACAAGTAAGTATGAGCAAGTTCATTAAAAGGAAGCATACTTTTCTTAGTTACTCACCTGAGTTTGCTGTCCCAGCTTTGCTACTGCCATGTAACCTCTTTAATTTATTTGCCCTTCCTGGTTGCATAGAAACTATGAGCAGAAGTGAGCAATGAGGGCTGTAATCATGGCCTTTCCCTTGGTTGCAGAGGAGCAATGTAAAGAAAGACCTTTAAATTGGGAGTCAGAAGAGCTGGATAAAAGACCTGGCTCTCCCACTTCCTAGATTTGTCACCAGGACCAAATTGCACCTTTGTTCCCCATCTGTAAAGTGGGGATAATAACAGGTACACTATTTATGAGACTAACAGTAAGAAGTGGAGGCAAAGGATGGGTCAGGAGGATGGTAATGGGGAAGGGCTTTGGGAAAGAAAGAGAGAGATAAAGGTAGAATAATCTAGTTCTCTTTCCATAACACCATATTGTCTAGCTTTTCTGAGTATTATCTTGTTACCTCTCTTTGCTTTCAGCTATTCCCCAGTATCCTCTGCCCAGACTCTCCTTTGTAGACTTGTTGAGTTGAGTAGTTTCTCTGTCTTTTCTAATTTGACTCCCATCCCAGTGCTTACGGATGACATTGTTTATATCTTATTATATCTATACTACAGTGAAGGTGTTTAATAAATGCTTAAAAATAATCACTGGAGACCAGGTATGGTAGCATGTAACTGTCATCCCCACTGATTGCTTGAACTCAGAAATTCTGGGCTTCAGTAGGGCATAAAGCTGATTGGGTGTCTGTACTAAATCTGGCACCAATATGGTGAGCCCTTGAGGACTGCTGCGGTGCCCTGAGGTGTGAAAACAGAGCTCCTGAGCAGATCAGTACTGGGGACAGGTCATGTTTGGCTGTTATACCTTCAGCCTGTGTGAGATAGAGGACTAATCTCAAAAAAAATCACTGAACTTTCATCTATCTGAAAAGGTCAACAGGCCTTTCATACATTCTGCTTCCCAGATAACACCCGTGTCTCAGCACTTTATCAATACCACATTTCTTAACTGGGCATTTATCCTATTCACACAATTTTAATGTTGGAAGGAACCTAATCCAGGAGGTAGTTAATCTTTTAATTTGTGTCCAGGCCCCTGTTGGCAGTACAGTGAAGTCTATAGATTCTTTATAATAATGCTTTTAAAAGCACAAAATACATATAATTACAAAAAATCCAATTATCAAAATTTTTTAAAAACCAAGTTAATAGAGCCCAAGTTTAGGACTTCTAGGCTAGCACAACTTAACCCATACCTGAGCTGAAGCTCATCCCTTTACTGAAGCTCAGAACTTCTGAGCTCTAATAATTAGCCAGCCTCAGTCACTGCTACAGCAGTAGGCACTACAGGTATGTGCCACCATACCTGGTCTCCAGTGATTATTTTTAAGCATTTACTAAATACCTTCACTGTGGTGTAGATGTAAGAAGATATAGGCAATGAGCACTGGGATGGGTGTCAAATTAGGGAAGACAGAATAGCTACTCAACTCTCCACGCCTACAAAGGAGAGTCTGGGCAGAGGATAATGAAATAACTGAAGGCATAAATAGATAATAAGATTACACATTCCTGACAAATGATCATCTTGCCTCTATTTGAAGTCAATAGGGAACCATTATTTCCAAGCTGCTCACTCTACTTTTAGAAAGGTCTGATTGTGGGGAAGTGGGTTTTTTCCTCTTTTATCAAGCCCAAATCTGCAACTTCTACCCCTTTCCATATACATACATACATACATATATATGTGTGCATGTAGGTATATATGTATGTATGTATGTATATTAGATAATGAGAGAAGTCTCAGGACTTTTCTGGTTGATTCTTTATTAGGAAATTAGACTATGAAGTCACCCTCCATTGACTTGGAATTGAATTGGGCTATTTTTTTTTTTAGAGAGAGATTTCCTTAGAATTACATAGTGCATCTGCATATATATTTAAGAGGTCAAGAAGTGTATGAAGTCAAAGAAAGCATGATTTATCATCCATTAGAAAACAAGAAATTATGCAAAAGCGTGCAAGCAAATTATGAGCAAGCAAAATGTTATGTGAAAAGAGCTGGACACATACCCACAAACCATCCATCATCACACTTCTCCATCACATCAATGACATCGCTCTCCCTGAGCTCCAATTCATCTTCATTCCTAGGAGTATAGTTATACAGAGCCTGAAACCTTAAACAGGACAAATACAAATGCGGGTGTTTAAACAGAAGTTCTTTGCACCTTCACTAAGCTAGAGGAGTAGGTGAAACTGTCACTTTGGTTGGAAAAATGGCATTCTAACTAAAAATATCAAGCTAAGGAATGTGAAACTTTACTTATCATGGAGAGGAAAAAGACAGAACTCCCCCATAGGGTACTGGGCTGGCGCTGTAATTACATTACACAATTCACAGTATGAAGGGCATTCTGATTTAAGTATTTTTTGAATTTTTAAGGCAGGTGCTTGTTTCAGCTATCTGATGACTTTTCTATCTCATACAGCTTAGATAATGGAACTAAATGAAATAGAAATGGTGTTTTCGTGATTCACTCACAGAAAACAAGAAAGGCTCTTACAGAATCAGTGTTTCTGAAGGTGGTTATCTAGCACCACAAAACACCTGTGGCTTATACGTTTTTTAAAGAACCAATTTAGCTTTCAAAATATATTTTTCATTAAGAGAAAACAAATGGTTTAAATACAACTCTTGAGTACCTATGTGGGAATTTGGAAGAGTGCCACTCTTCCAAAAGGGGATCTGTCCTTTTTTTTTCAAGCCCATTTATTTTCATTTCATCTTCATTTTATCTATTAAAAACACATACACACACATATATGCTAAAAAGAAGTCCTCCAGCACATTGGGTGGCCCATCTATTTGTATTTATGCAATGACCCAAACGAGACCTGTGTAGGAAAGGATGCGTTGCAACTTATACTGGTGGAGGTAAGGTCCACCCTATCGAAATCATGCAACCATGAAAGCATTTTATTTTCATAAATCTATTACCAACTAGAATTGGTGGAATAGTCTCAGTGGGGACAAAAAGATCTCATATTTGATGTAGTACATTTTATGCTGGTTTATGGATGGATTACAGACCAGGATGAAACAATGGAAAACAATGGATTTGGAATGTTCATTGATTAATTCAATCCCAAATAGTTTACGGCTACATGTTCCATGTTAGATAAGAATTATAAAGATTTATTCCTCCCCCACACCAAACTTTCACACTCTTGAACAATTCCTTCATATTAAAAAAATGAACATTACCATTCCCTAGGCCCTCACATTTCATGAGAGGCTATATTGGAAGCGTTGATGAAGGAGTAACGAAGAGTTTGGGGGTTCTAGTACCACCAATCTTACAGAAGATATTGATAAACAAGATGAGCAGTGACATCTTAAAAAACAAAAATACAGTATCTGGGATGGCCAGGGAGGAGTTGCTATATAATTAACATAATATTCCAGAGGTACAACACTCATTGGATCTTTCCTAAACAGAAGTGTAGACTGTCAATAACTTGGATAGGACCAAGAGGCCAGCCTTACACATAGATGGAACAGACTGCTACCTACATGGTATATTTGAAAGGATCTCCAAGAAGGCTTCTTACCTTCCTCTTCTCTCCAAATATGTTCTCTGCTTTGTTCTTAATGCCTAAAATTTTACCATTAGAGAGAGATTCCTTTGGTCCCCCATTAAAGTGAAAATATAATGAGGAAGGGTAGGTAATACATTAATGCCTCATTGTTCATTTATACCTCATTGCAAACTTTTCATTAGAGTATTAAGAGAAGATTTTCAGTGTAAGGGAAGGAGAAAGAACATGAAGTTACTGGCTGCCTGTGGTTGGGGAGAAGGCACAGACGAGGTAATGGGCCGAATTTGGAGGTAGGAGACCTGGTGCTGCCATAAGGTAGCTGTACTACACTGGGCAAATCATGTTTCCGGGCCTCAGTTTCCTCATCTGTTAAAGAAGTCAGGAGATCTAAAAAGTTTTGGTTTTGGTTTTGGTCACAAATCCCTTTGGAAACCTGGTGAAGCCTATGAACCTTTTCTCTGAATGAGGTTGGTCACTTACATTCATAATGAAGACATTGATCAGTCATTGCACAATTTTGTCCAGGGCTATCTGGATAAAAGCATCAAACAGCTTTCTTTAGGTTGAATAGATGACATTTAAAATAGTATTTATCTCAGAAGGCCTATGGAAAGTCTTTTGATATTTCTAGCAGACATTAAGAGCTTGAGATAAAATACTTTGGATAAAGAAAGGGAAAAAACACTCAGGATTCTGAATAATGCTCTCTTCCTTGGAAAGTGACCTCACTCTAACAATTTGAATATGTTGTGTCACTGTATAATCTCATATCATCCTCTTTGGTGGGAGCAGAATGCTACTGGGTCATCAACTTGATACCATTGTATGTTTTCCAAAGTGCTTGGAATTATGTTGCCTTCCTCTGGGCCAATTACCGATTTTTCAGACTGGAAGAATGTGACTAGTCCAAGGCTTTAAGACCCAAATGCTTGGAGGCTCCCAGAGCTGTTACATTATTATCAAAGACCAGTTTGTAGGTGCAAACTTTGACCTGGGGTACAGGATGATGTCTGCGTACGTGTTTACTGACACTGTCCTGCTTTCATTTCTCTCATTATCTGGGGGTGTAAGAAAAGAATCAATGCATCTTCCCAGAAGCTTCCTACTCCAATTTAAACTGAGTCAGTTTAGAAGGGATGCATTCTGTGTTGAGGGTTCAGGGCTGTTCTGTAAGATGCATTGGAAGAAACAGGAATGAATGGTGGTGGAAGCAGGATGCCTTAAAAGGACATCTTTTTCTTATAGTGAAAAATTGCCCTTGTTCCAAGAAAAGGCAAAATTGAATTATTCTTGAACCTTTTAAGACTCAGAATCTAGCTTTTCACAAGACTTGTTAAGGGTCTAAATGAAGCCAAGCTTCTCCACCCATATTTCATGGAATGCAACTGGGTGGTATTTTTTTTTTAACAAAGAATGTTTTAATTAGGTCTCAAATACAGTTTCCTAAATACATAAATACCCATCTGTGGGCTATGTAATTCCATAAATACAGAATGGTAAATCTGATCACCAAAATTATGGCTTAGGAAAGTGGTCAGAAAATCAATTAAATTATGTACCCACAGAAAACAATGTCTAATATTCCTTACTACTTTAAAAGCAGCTATCAATAAAGCATGGGAAATGGGCTAAAACATTTATGCTCTTCAAGAGTATTACAAATTTGTTATTTTCAGTAAGGAGACTCCTTGAAATTATTTGCAAATAAATAGCCCAGCAGGAACTTAAAAATGAAAATTAGAAAATGTTCTTAGACGATTTCCAAATTCAGCAAAAATTACATTCATCACTTTCATTTGCAAGGGCTTGTGGGTTTTCCTTCAAACTTTTTCCTATTGCTATCCTCTGAGGCTACAGGGTTCCAAGCTGAGAGGTTTGCTCTAGATTATGGACTCTAGTTAGGGGTGAGGTCTAGCAAAGGGGTGAGTAGGGAAATGAAGGGAACAAACCATAGAGCCAAATCAGTAAGAGGCAATGTGGTACAGTGGAAAGAGCACTGACCTTGAACTTGGTATCACAGATCCTAGCTCTGCCAGTTGGCACTCATGTGGCTTTGGGTAATCACTTAACCTTTCTGGGCCTTGGCTTCCTCATCTATTAAATGAAGGTGTTGGACTAGGTGAGCTGGAAGGTCCCTTTCAATTCTAGATGAATGATCTTATGATTCATAAAAATGGCTTAATCAGTTGCTACTTCTTGGGGGCAGAGGGACTATGGCTCAGGGAGAGGAAAATGGTCAGAAGGCTTGAGACTTATTGAGGATATTAACACTTGATACTACAGAAGAAACTTTAGCATCTTAACCAGTAATTCCACAGAATTTGGATGAAAAGGGGGTGATGTCTCTTTGGTGCCCTCTCCTACAGGAAGCCTCTCCTGATTCTCTGAGTTGTTTGTGTTCTTTTACTCCATAGAATTATTTTTTATTTGTTTCTGTACATGTATTTCTCCTTGCCTCCCAGTACAATGTAAGTACCTTGAGTGTAGAGACATGTTATTCATTTTCTTTGTAGCCCCAGCTTTAATGGCACAGTGCCTTGCAAACAGCAGGTGCTTAATTAATGCTTGTTGAATGAAGAAAAAAGAAAGGAGTGGAATTAAGGGGAAGGACGCTTAGTGAGACTCTCTGGCAACTACCGGTTAATCAGTCATTGCCTTATAAAGGTAAATGTGATACATCACTTGTTCATCTATTGTTCTTGAAGATGACCAGTGACATCATGTGGGTGATGTCTTGACTTGAGAGTAAATTGGATTTAAGTAAGACAGAGCTGTGCAAAGTCATTAGCCTTACTCTTTCCTCCAGGGTCATCAGAGTCTAGTGGCAAGACAAAAGTCAAGACAACTAGTGATGGCCCCCAGAATAGATCACTATGATTGATGTGAAGGGGAGCATTTCTGGGGATAAAGAAGTAAATGTGCTTGGGTAACAGTGATCTACAAAAGGCTGCCATTTGGAAAGGGCCCTTCTGGAAACATGCGTTAGAATTGTGTCACCAAGTTCTCTTGATGGCTCTTCTCACTAACCTGTTCTCCCAATAACTACACAGTAAATACAGGTGAGGTGCCTGCATTACAGTGAAACCTATGCTCACTAGCATCTACATTGTCCATATTGAGGAAGGAAAACCGACTCATAAACCCTAAGAGGGAGTCTAGTTCAGTGATAAAGCAAGAAGAAAGAACCCTTCATCTAGGCATGACTTCCTGACTGTCCATAACATAAAAGACATGCGATATTGTCTTCAGCAGGTGAAATACAATCAAATTAGGCTGCTTAACTTTCACTTAACAAAATTCACCATCTTCCTTTCTGGCCACACAGATTTTGTATTTGAGCTCCCCAGGCTGCTCCTCCCTTCTTTTGTTAGGGTTAAGGTTATTCTTGAATTTAGAAGAGAAGAAGGATACTTACGGTTCCCCCCCACCTTGCATGTTTTCATGAGTAAACCCGGGGCGCTGTGGCTGTAATGAAATGATTTTCAATGTAAAAAAAAAAGTATAGTACTGTTACTAAGTAAAAGTTTGGATAATGGCATATGGTATTTTTTCTCGACATTTAATATTTCCTGTTGTAAAAAACCAAGAGGAAAGAAAAAGCAAACAATAGGACTGTTGAAGGATTAAGAATTGGAATATTTTGAAGGGAATTGTTAAAATTAAACTCAAAGAATCCATGTCCAAAATACTTGGAACACGTCTACAATCTAGACTCTTCACATTTTAATGAAAGATCACATTTTAGTCCCATTGATTTTTCAAAGGCCAGGAATATTGCAAAGACGCAGACACCGTAGCACTTGAATGGGACAGGATGGACAACAGCATACATTCTAGTCTCTTGTATGTTCTTAGACAAGCAAAAAATAAATCACATTTAATTTTAACAGCAAAGGAGCCACATTCATTCATTATGTTTTTCCTGCACGGACAACATTCTCATGTACAGTACACATGAAAATATCAACTGGGCAGGCACCCCATGCTACATTTGGATTAACACTGTCCCTTCTCAAGGTGAGGAGAACACCATGCAGATTTTAAAGGGAAAACAGACAACTTTAAATAGACTGGAACAAACAATATCCAGGTAACATATAACATTTTACCTTATTAGAGAAATACTGGTAGATATTTCCAGTGCAATGAACCCTCAAAAGAGTTTCCTTTCTTTTTAAACTAAGCATCAAGACCAGTATCTGTAATAGATACTTATAATATTGGAAATGATAAGCCTTAGCATCCTAAATCACTATATAATTGTTTCATCTAATGGGAAAAAATAGTACTTTTTATCATTAAATAAGCTGTATGTTAATTTGTAATCACTGAATGATCTAAATATATCTTCTAGGAAAAATTCTTCATTACAATCATTCATAACACATTTTATATGCACCTTAATGCTGCATGAACCAGGTACATAATAAACATAAGATATTTTCCAAGTATGCATGGTAGCTTTCTGAATACTAATCTTTCATGACCACTGAACTGTAGTAATCAGCTAAATGATCTTAAACATAAAATTATAGATGGGTTTCTAAGACACATAGAGTAGATGACTGATAAGCTGTTCAGATCTTTCCTTGAAAGTCTTTATCACCCACTGGGTCCAATTTGGTTTAGAGCACAGAATGTATAAAAGAAGGTAGGCATCTTGGTGGCAAACTGTTAGAGTACTGGACTAGGAGTCAGGAACACCCAAGTCCAAATTGTGCCTCAAACACTTACTGGCTATATGACTCTGGGACAGTCATCTAACCTCTCTATTACCTCAGTTTCTTCATCTATAAAATGGGGATAATAATAGTACTTACCTCCCAGGGTTGTTATGAGTATAAAATGTGATAATATGTATAATACCTTTTGCAAACCTTTTAAAGAATTTCATAAATGATAGCTATCATTAAAAACGTGGAAAAAGAACGAACTATGGTGGTTTCTTCCAGCTCAATAATGAGATGACTTCACGATGCCTTTCTATATAACATGTGAATAGTAAAACTCTTCTGTTCTGAGGAGTTTTATTCAAATCATATGATGTATAGAAAATGTATGTACCCTGAAATGTTCTTAGCCAAATATTGTTGTCCTGGGTAAAAAACACAAGTCCCAACTCTGAATAGGCTGTGGAGAATGCCTCTCTTGAAGTAATTAACAGTGCCCCCACATTAGTAGAATGTGAAGTTTAGAACCCCAAACAGCACAAGTGCCTTAGAAGACCTGATTCTTAAATTTCTTTTGTTCCACAGTCTGCCTATGAGGCAAACCACAGAGGAGCTACAGGACCTGGAGGATGGAACAGAAGAGTTCAATTCACAAACCATCTATCTCAAAGGCAGGAAATTAAAGATGTAACTTACCGCTATCCCCCATTTTGCTACCAAAAATCAACGCTACACTATCAATTATCACATAATGATTAATGCTTTGAAAAATATGATCATCATTGTTCAGGTCAAATTGTTCTAACTGGCAGCTACCAGCATGTTTTGAAACACAAGTTCTAGGTCCTTAATCTGATTTAATAGAGTAAATTCAATATGTTTTCTTTTGCCTCAATTCTATACAACCGTAACACTGTACTACATACATGCATACATATATGTATATATATATATATACAAGTCATTGATTGTTTTTTTAAAAAATTGTATAAAATATGCATCTTCCTTTTAGAACAAAAGTACCTGACCACCCACAAAATTTCACCTGATTAAGAATATGATGTTCACCACAATGTACAATTTTCAAATTGAGTATGAAGGAAACTATCTTATTTTTGATTTATCCCCTTAATCTCTAGTTCAAATGAAGCTAAAGTCATAAGATCAAATTGCCAACAAACAGAAATCAACCCAGTGGAGTGGGGTGTGGAAAGGTGGAGAGGAATAATTTTTCATAATTTCCATTTTATAGCTATACTGTCATTACTAATCAGGGCAATTCTACTACTTTAATTCCTGTTTTAATTCCTTCAATTTATGTCACTCGGACGCTCAGGTTATTGTCTGTCCCCTTTGGTTCTGAAGTCACTACTTTTTTTCCAGTATATGAAAACAGATTTCTTTCTGTTCTAAGTATGTGTATTCTACAGGCTTCTTTGATGTTTCAGCCTGGGCTTTATGCCTTTCCCTTTTCATTAAAAACAAACAACCACAAACTTAATCCTTCCATGCTGCTTAAAGAATCCTTTTTTTCTGTCATTTTCTGTGTGCTACTGGATTCATTTGTCTATACAGGTCAGAATTGTTGTAATCTATAATGGAAGTATCTTTTAACATCTTTGAAAGGAGAATTTATGTTTCTTATTTCCAATTACCTCCAGCTACCTCTCCACTTAGTTGTCCAGACAGCGTCTCAAACTAAAATTGTCCCAAACTGAAATCATCATTCCCTCCCATTCCCTCCTGCCTGTCCAAGTTGCTCCTACCCTAACTTCTCCATTTAAAAAAATCCATTCTTTTCCCAGTTATCCAGGCTCAAAACTTAGTCATCTGATAGACCACAGCCCATCTTAGCCATCACTCATAAATTATATTCTGGGGTTCCAAAGGAATCTATGGACACGATAGCTGAACTGCTATGAGGAACCTCTGAAAATGCACAGTGCTACATAGGCTAGAGGCAGGTAAATGTCTTAATTTTCCAAAAGAGGAAGAATGTGAACTGTTCAACCTATAGTTTGGAGAGCTTGACTAAGATTTTTGGGAAATTCTAGAAGATTTTGTTAAAAGGATAACTTGTGAGCGATTAGAAAGGGAAACAGTAGTTAACAGTGCCAAAGTAGATCTATTAAGAATAAGTTACATCACACTAACCACATTAGCTTGTTTGACAGGTTTATGAGACTAGGTAAGTGGAAAGTCAAATGCCATGTACTTGTAGCTTGGCAAAATGCCTGATAGAATTTCTTATGTTATCCTTGTAGATGAAATGGAGGTATGTAGACATAAGAGTACATTTTGGCAGATTCAGTTTTAGACTCAATGCACAGAGACTGATGTCACTGAGAAAGATCTAATGAAGTACCACCTTGCTTTGTCTTCGGTCCTGTTCTATTCAATGTTATTAGTGATTTGAATGAAGACCATATGGAATGTTTATGAAAGCTGTGTATGGAACTGGGAGAAGTAGCTGATTCACTGGATGGAAGAATTCCATAAAGAGCTCAGTATGATAGGATGAAGGGCTACATCTATTAAGATCATATTTAAAGGGAATATATGGAAATTCCTTTTGATTACAAAACAGTCATTTGTACAAATACATTTTAGGGGGAGATATGACTAGACAAGAGTTCATGTGAAAAGAATCTGGAGATTTTAACAGAGTGCAAGCTCCTCATGAATCATCAGTGGAATTTGCTAGCCAAAAAAGGCTAATGAAATTTTAGCCTATATTAACAGAGGTATAGTGTCTAGATCAAGAGAGAGGATAGTGTTATTGTATTTGCCCCTGGTCAGAGGCATCTGGAATATATTTCCAGGTACTACATTTTAGGAAGGATATTGACAAGCCAAAGGAAGGTACCAAGAATGCTGTAGGCATGCAAAGCCATGCCATACTTGTTTAAGGAACTTCAGATGTTTAGCCTATGGAAAGGAATGCCTTGTAAAAACCTGACTGCTGGAAAAATATCTGACAAAATTTCTTACATTTGGATGGTCTTGTATTTGAATGTGGAAGAAGGATTAGATTTGTTTGGCCTTAGAAGTCAGAACTAGGAAATTCTAGGGGCGCAAGGTAGGGGAGGAGTGAGTTTTCACCTCAGTACATGGAAACAATTTTGGAACAATTGGATAACAAAAAAGCAGAATGGCAGAGAATGTTGGTTCAAATTCCAGTTATCTGGTCCTTGGGTGTCCTCAACTGCAAAATGAGAGGATTGCACCAAATGACTTCTGAGGCCTCTTCCAGTTCTAAAGAGTTCCCCATCAATGAAGATCTTGATTTGGAGGTGGTATGGCTGTTTGTTGAGGATGCTTTTGGAGATATTGTTTCAGTTATGGGTAAGACTATCTTCCCTCTGAAGTCCCTTCCAATCACGAGGTTCTATGACTTATGCTGCTCCCCACTCCCATGCTCTACTAAACAACACTACTTATCCTGATATTCGGAGCCATCCATAACCTGCCTTAATCCTACCTTATTTGCTTCATGTACCTAACATTCCAACAAACTGAACTAGGGGTTATTTCATTTTTTTGTCCGGTTTTCTCTTACCTCTGCACCTTTGTTTATCTTTTCTCCCATGCCTTGAATTGAGACCTTCCTTGACACCCTGACACATCCTTCATCTACTTAAATCCCTCCCTTACTTAAAGGCCTAGCTTAGGCGTCAGCTTTTCCATAAAATCTCCCCTAATACCCTTAAGCTGAAAGCTATCTTTTCCTCTTCAGATTTCTAGATTTGACCTAGATATCTAGGTTTAACCCTGTCTAGACCACTCCTTTCTTCTTTATCGCTTTTTTGCTTTCTGATTACTCATGCACATGATCCATCCCTCCTATTAAACTGTAAGGGCCTTGAGGATAAGGACTCCGCCATTTGTTATGTCCTTATTTCATTTAGGACACAGCATAGTCCCTTGCACACTATAGATGCCTCAGAAATAAATATTTGTTGAGTTAAATCAGATTGAGAGGCGTTCAAAAACAGATTCTGACCAAGTTGCCCGCTTTGGGGCGGGGGGCAGGTAGAGGGCCCTGAACCAAAGATTTCATTACTATAATAACTGTCGCTCTGCAACTTCAACATGGGTCAAGACTTGAAACCAGATTTTCCAACTATGAGGTCAGTGACGAGGTGCACGACACCAAGCTGGCTGACTGAGCTGATACTTACTAAGATGAATGGTCACTCTTTAGTCTCTACTTGGATAACTCAGAAATCCACCTTAGTGGAAGATGACTGGTCATAACACTGGGAATTAATTTGTCTCATTCTCCTCCATTATTAAGCACTACTAACAATTACTTAAGAGGCAGCATTACAGAGTGGATAGAGGTCTGTCCTTGGGGTCAGAAACATTTGTTAAATGAATGGAATAGTAGTATGCCATAGGAAAGGATGAAATGGATAGTTTTAGTGAAAATTGGGAAGACCTCTATGAAATGATGAAGCAGGAAATGAACAGCATTAGGAGAGAAAGTTATATACAATGATAACATTATAAAGAAAAACAACGTTGAGAGACTAAAAGTTTGATTAATGTAATGATAACCATGATTCCAGAGGACTGCAGCATGCTGCCTGTTGCTCTAGAAGCTGTTGTTCAGTTGTGTCCAACTCTTCATGACCCTGCGGACCATATTGTCCATGAACTTCTCTTGGCAAAGATACTGGAGTGGTTTGCCATTTCCTTCTCTGGTGGATTATGACAGAGGTTAAGTGACTTGCCCAGGGTCACACAGCTAATAAGTGTCTGAGGCCAGATTTGAACTCAGGTGTTCCTGATTCTAGGCCCAGCACTCCATCCACTGTGCCATCTAGTTGCCTCAGAAGTAATGGACTTAAATAGCAGAAGGAGACATGGCCAGTGTGGGGATCTGTGTCACTTTAACATGCATTTTTGTTATGAAGGTTTTCCTTTTTGTATTTGTTCATTGGGGGTGGGATGGGAAGGAAAGAAAAACAGATGTTTGTTAATCAGAAAAAATAATAAAATTATATATGTATTTTTAAAGATGTGAGCTCAAGCCTCTGTGACCTTGGGCAAATAACTCAGTTTTTCAGTGACCCAAATAATTTAAATGGTAGAAATGTTGCCAATATATCTTGATTGGTTGAGGAAATTTTCTTCTCTGGGAGTTCCTTACACCAGTAAAGTCACAGGTCAGGATCAACAATATTACTGTGCAGAACAGCACTGTTTAATTACTTGAGTGCTGGTCTTGGAATTAGGAAGACTTTTAGGTTTACATCATACCTGGTACGTATGATGGGCAAGTCACTTATGCTTCTCAAATCACAGTCTGTCTTGGTAAAGGGAGTTTCCATAGTAGAAGAGCCATGTGCTGATGAACTCACAGATCCTTCATATATTTCATGGCATTGGATTTGATGATCTTTAAGATCTTTTCCAAGTATATAATTTTATGAATACAAATAAATAAAACAAAAATAGGATTTATGCTTAAAATTATTTGCAATATATCACCCTAATAATACATTTATTTTTAGGTTTTAGTTATTAGTGGGACATTGTAAAAATTAACTAAATATGAAAAGTAATAATATAAATCATAACAAGGACGTATACAATTAATGTCTCTCATGCCTGGAATGATTTCCTCCCTTAACCATTGCTTCCTCTTCATCTGCTGGAAAAAAATCAAATTATTATAATGAAAATAATGACATTTTTGGACTTGGCAACTCTTAAGGACTTTCTACTAAGTAAAAGAGAAGTGGTGATAGGTGCCTGTGAAATCAGAGGTTGTTTAAGTGTGTTCTTAGTTCCATTTTACAGATTAGTTCATTAACATTGAGGGAGATCCATGGACTCCCTGACAAAGGAGCTAGTGTGGGTTCAGTGGAAAGAATACAGGTTCTAGAGTCAGAGGACCTGGGTTCAGATCCTGCCTCTGCTCCTTTGTGACCTGCAACAAGTCACACTCAGCCTTCCTGGGCCTCAGCTATCTCACTGAAAAATGAAGAGCTTGGGCCATATGCCATATGAGCTCTAGTTCTATGATTCTTTGAACACAGAACATGTAAGAAGTAGGAGTTGCATGATGGCTTTGCTTTTTTACTTTCCCTTATTAATAGAAATGTTAATGATTTCTGCCATGGTCTTGTACTTATAGAACTTATAGTTACATAACAATGGAGAAAGACTTTTATTGGAGAGCTTCTTTTTTATTTTTTTTTATTATGGAATGAGAAATTACATCTATTTCTTTCCAGGGGAAGATTTCCATACTCTGGCTAGACATTCCCACTAATAATTTCAAGGCTAATATCATCCGTGCTTATTTTGCTGTGAATCTGCCACAGATATCCCTATTATTACCATTTGATTCATCCTTCTAAAGGTCCCTATTACATATGTGGACATTGGGTTTTTTTTTGGCCCCAAGCAATACTAAGTTCGGAGAGGACTTTCCCAAGAACTGCATGTTTTACCATCTTCATCTCAAATTCTTTTCTATTTGAATAGCCCAGAGCCAGGAGACTTGTTTTCTAGGTGCAATTCTATCACTGCCTTGCTGTGCAATGTTGAGGAAAATAGTTTTAAGATTTGTTCATCTGTAAAATAGGAATAATGCCTGTCCTACCAGGGGGTTTCAAGGATGACTTATATTTCAGTACTTCAATGGATTCACGATCTTGTCGATGTGAAGGGGAAAAATGTTGGTGTCCAAGAGCTGCCTTTGGAAGTGGTGCATTCCCTTTTACTCAAGGTCTTCAGGGAAAGACTAGATGATCATTTGTTGGTTACAACTGGAGAAGCTATTCCTGTTCAGATAGAGGGTTGACTTTCCAGCTCTGAGGTTCTCGGATCCTTTTGTCTGGTATAATTATTGTATAGTGGTTAGAGAGCAGCCATTAAAGCCAGGAAGATATGGGTTCAAGTCCCACCTTTGACATATAGTGACTATGTGAACCTAGATAAGTCACTTAACCTCTTGATGCCCCCAGGCAAATCTCTAAGACTACATTATAATAATAGCTAGCATTTATATGGTGCCTCAAGGTTTGCAAAGATATGTGTATATATATATATATATATATATATATGTGTGTATATGTATGTATGTATGTATGTATGCATGCATATATACACACAAATACACACCTTTTCTCAGTTTGGAGTCAGGAAGACCTAAGTTCAAAGCCTGCTTCAAATGCTTACTAACTGTGTGATGCTAGGAAAGTCAGTTAACCTGTTTGCCTCAGTTTCTTCATCTGTAACATGGGGATCAGCTCTTCTCTCCCAGGATTGTTGTGAGGATAAAATGAGATATTTGTAAAGTACTTTTCAAACCTTAAAGTGCTATATTAATGCTAGCTGTAATTATTATTACATAAAGTGCAGAGAAGCTGTTGACTTGTATTAGATAGGAGGAATTTCCTCAATCAATGAAATAGCAGATCTGGTCTCTATCTCAAAATTATTTCTGGGGTCACTATCATTCACCAAAATGCATCCATTGGGTCTTAACTTTACTGCCATCTAATGGCGATCAGAGGCCACAACATGACTGACGATTGTTTTTGGGAACCTCCCAGCCGGCTAAGTCAGAATGGGAACAGGACGTTTTTGATTAGATATTTTAAGGAGCAGACTGTTTGGCAGATTAGATGGCCATCTCTTTTCCTGCCCTGTGCGCTCCCTTCTTTCCTATTTTAACTATTTGCAGAGGCATTTCTATTAGTCATAACCTCTTAGCTATTTTGTAGTTAAAAATATAACAATATACATTCGTGACATTTAGCCCGGATCATATGTACTCTGAGGCTAAGAAGATGAACTCTGGGTTAATACCTTGAAATTTCTGTGCTAGATCTGTTTTAAAGGAGAAATGTGCATCTTCTCTACTTTTCCTTTTTTCTTACTGTTCAAAATGAAAACTCAAATGACCTATAATTTCAGAGGTACAAAGTGTCTTTGAGACTTGCAAAGGTCATTATATTCATTAAAATACTTGTTTTTGAACAGATGGATAGGAGACAGTTGTTAGGAGAGGAATCTATTATAGCCATAGTTCACAATAATTGTATGCTTCCTTATTATGGTTTATATCAACATCTTTATTATTTTACATTTAGTTAATTCTCACAATAGCCCATTTATAAATGGCATTCTGGAAACAACTGTGTATTTATGGTCCAACATAATTTTGCTTAAATTTTTTTCTTTCCCTTTTGGCTTAGCAACCAGCTGTTATCATTGAGACTGTTTTTAAATGCATATGAACTTTCAAAGCCAGATAACCAGTGTTTGAAGGAAGCCTACACATGAAATCTCTATTTTAAAAATAAAATAGGCTCTACTTATTTGGAGAGGTTAGGTCAAAAGTTACTTAGCACAGCATGTCTCCAAGCTGTACCACAGGATTAAGTGATTCTAAACTTTAAGGAGTGACAGTTACTTTATAGATTTGGTAGTAAAAAAAACTTTAAAATAGCTTCTGAGAAGGTTTAAAGTTTTCAGAGGAGAGCTAGGTTTCAAAATGGATAGTGCACCAGGCCTGAAGTCAGGAAGACCTGAGTTCAAATGTGACCTCAGACTCTTACTAGCTGTGTGACCTTGGGAAAGTCACTTAACCCTGCTTGCCTTAATTTCTTCATCTGTAAAATGAGCTGGAGAAGGAAATGGCAAACCACTCCAGTATCTTTGCCAAGAAAATCACAAATGGAGTCCTGAAAAGTTGGACATGAATGAGACAACTTGAACAACAAAATTTTCAGAACAAAATACTTTTTCACTGAATGGCAGCTTTAGTGCAATCCTATTATGTTGAAATCAAAGTGTGCCAGTGATCACAGTCCTCCTAGGTTTGCTTACTTTTCTTGTAAAACTAAGAATAATATTATTTGGTATAAAACCTATTAAGGAAAATTTGACTGAGTATCCAATTGTATTGAGTGTCAGCTTTAACCTATTCTGCAACAATCTGAAAAAACAGATATTTAAAGTGTGACTGGATAATCCAATATTGAGAACCTAAGTTCTTACTGGGTCCTAGAACAAGGTAGCATTTTTCTGATGGCTCCTGACAGCCATAAGGGGACACTTTTGTGTAAGGAATTCTTTTCTTCTGAGTACCATCTCCTACCAGTGTCAGAAAAAGGAATCTTAGGGTTGAATGAGCATTTCTTTAGCATAGATGATTTAAGTGCTAAAAGCAAAATCATATAAACAAATACATATGAAAGTAAAACAAAAAGAAAAGATGAAACTTTACCAAAATCAAGGTCTTTTACAGTTCTGAATTGTTGTTTTCTTTCATTCTTGCAGGAGATCATGACATCAGGGAGGTGATGCCATGACATGCAATTTATTTATGGATTTAAGTGAGGGAGGGCTGAATTGGGGAAAAAGTAAATGCCAAAGTGCACCATTTAATTGGGAACTTGCTGTGACTGAGATTAGGGCAATGGTTTAAGACTAAAATTTATGACCCTATCATGGTGATGGGAACACAAATCCCGTGGAAATTAACAACCCATCCCCCTTTACTGTATAATCCTGTTTTAGATGAATATTTAGAATCCACTCATTTAAAAAATACAGTATATTAATGAACTATCTAATGGGGAATACTTTTCACTTTGATTTAAATAAAGGTTATTGTGTGGGGAAACACTAAGTGGGTTGATAGCTCCTAGAAACACTGTTCCATAAGGAAGGCACGTAGCTCACTGTAGTGACAAAATATTTTGAGAAGAGGATGATGTATTAGAAAAAAAATTCCAGCAAACAGGACATCAGCCAAAGAAAACATGCAGAAAACGAGATACAGTATATGAACTCAGAAAGTTCTGGTTCACGTTTTGTTTTCTGGTCTTCAAAATCAGTGTCTTAGAGAACACACCACAAACAACACAGTATGTAACGGATAGAGAAAATGATGCTCTTGGTGCTTATTTCTTTGCTGATGTGGCATAGATTTGTGGCAAGAGCCCTGCATCGGGAGTTTAAATCTCAGCTCTTCCCCTTACTGCCTACATGACCATGGGCAAATCATTGTGTAATTCGGAGCCTGAGTTTTCTCATCTGTAAAATGACAATGTTGTAGAAGACCATCTCTGTAGTCCCTCTGAGCTCTAAAATCTTATGAAAAACTCTGCTTTTACTTAGTTAAATGGCTAACGAGAGAGCACCACCAAGCACACTCAAAATACCTTAGTGGAGCATGCCTTTAAAAAAATTAATGTATCTATAATATATATAACATATTATATAATGTATATATAAGTATAATGTAGTATATGTAAGCACAACTGACCTTTTTTGACTTATAAATATCTTCATTTTGATTTAATAAATAACATTTGTATGGTGCTTCCATATATTATTTCATATATTGAGAAATGAGATATTTGTTAAGTGCCTGGCACTTGGTAGATTCTTAATAAATGTTGATTTCCTTCCTTCAATTTGATCCTAACAATGACTCTATGAGATAGGTGCTATTATTATCCCCATTTTACAGATGAGCAAAGGAAGGCTGAGTAATTTGCCCAGGGTCACACAGCTGATAAGTTTCTGAGACTGGATTTGAACTCAGGTTTTCCTAACTCCAACGCTCTGACTGGCCAATGTGCAGGACTGAAGCACTAAAGCCGTGAAGATGGGGAAGGCTGTCTCACACCTGGGGTGTGAGGGACCCTACCCTGTGTGAATTGCTGTGACCTCTGACAGGTGGGCTGCAGGATCTCCTAGACATCACTGGGCTACGAGGAGGCTTAGCCATTACAAATATTTCTCTTTTTAAATCAGCCTGAAAAAACCACAAAGAGGGCGGTCAGTTCCCTTCACATGCACATACAATAGACATGCTAAAAAAATCTTTGAACAAAAACACAGCAGCACCCCTGTCCCAAATAAGAGTTCCCAGTGTCTGGCTACTGCTTCCTTGGCAAAAAACCACCCTTCTGGTGTTAAGGGATAGCTAAAGCTGACAGGGCTTGCAGCACATTCCAGGGGAAATTTCACAGCAGAAAATTTGCATACATAAGCCATTTGCTAGGAAGGGCAGAAAGCTGAGAACGCACAGAAAGAATTTTGTTGCTAGCAAATGCATTAAACTTGAGTATACACATCTGCTGACTGATTTCCTCTGTGCATGTTTGAATAGAGAGGTGAGAGGGAAATATACTTCACTTGGTACATAGGTTCATCTTGAATGCTAAATGTCTGCTGGCTGTAAAACTCTTTCAATAGAGGAAAATAACTTTCTTCTGGGAAAAATGATAAAAAATATAGTGAAGTGCTCAAGACTGCTGTAACTTAATTTAGAATTATTTTGATAATATCGTCATAATGTCACAAACACACCTCCACAGGGTCCAAGATTTTTCCATCGACCCATTTGGAACAAGCCATCATGGAAGCCTTTCTAGTACTTTATTTCAGATAAACGCCAACATTTTGGAAATTTTTTTTTGGAAAATATTCTGGAAGAAAAGAGCCAAAGAAAGATCTCTGGAATCAGAAGACTTCGATTCCAGTCTAGCTTGTACCAAATACTAGTTGTGGAGCTACCTGTGGCAAGTCACTTTTCCTCTTCTCTGGGCCTCAGTTTCCTCCTCTGTCAAATTCAAGTAGAAAGGGGGCCATTAAATTATAGTAAGGATCCCTGCAGGCCACATATTAACTTAGAATACTACATATTAACATTATCTATGTTCCACTGCATTTTAAAATTTATTTCGTTAACTATTTCCCAGTTACATTTTAATCTGGTTTGGGTAACACTCAGGAGTATTGCCTGGCCTATGATTTCTAAAAGCCTCTTCCAGTTCCAACATTACAGAGTGCCCTAATTGTTGGACAATGCCTTTGATTGATTGAGGAAGGTTTGAACCATGATCTCTAGGGGCATTAGGGAAAGCTAGATTCATCTTTCCTCCTTAATTCATCTTTCCTGCCACACTCTCTTTGTGTCAGAGGTGGGGGATAATCGGTGGGGAACAGGCTGACATGTTGGCTAATACTGAATAATGGGTTTGCTTTTCTTTTCTCCTGTTCAATTGTTGTTAGAAGGGATGGCTCCGCTGGATAGGAGGGGGAAGTGTTATATCTGGAAATGAAGATGATTTGAAAACAAAAGTTGGCAATATAAATTAAAAAAAAAAAAAGAAAAAGAGAGTTAATGTATGTTAAAATGTTTCAACATGCATTTCTCTTCAGCTGACCAGAACACTGCTTCTACCAGGGATGCTTGAATAGAAAGCAACATCTAGAGACTGAAGAAAGAAGGCTGGGGCTGGAATACAATGGGCCTGTAATGAAATACTAGAAACCTGGACACTCTCCCATCTCCAAGTGCCAGGCCCATTATCAAGAAAAATACCTCCTGTGTGCAGTAGCAACCGTATTAACAGGGGTGGGGGAGGATTTTGCCTTTGGGGACCTGTGGTTTGGGACTGGGACCAGATGATTCTCTTGTATGAATATTGTCTCGATCACCAACCTAAAAACTCCTAACTGCTGTAAGATGCACCTATAGCCATCGTTTAATTATGTAAGGACCCAAAAGTCCTGGTGCCATTTTAAGCTATTAACTGCACTGAGAATACTGTGTCAGGCAGTATTAATTACAAAGTTTATATGGGAATCTAAGAGATCTAGATCATGAAAGACAGTACAGATTTTAGAATGAGATGGTCAGGAACAGCCAAAAGCAATAAGATAAGCCTGGGATGAATACAAGAAATAGTCTCATTGTTCCTAGGCTCTATTTCATGGAGCCATATTTTAGAGGAGACTTCTTTATAATGCCCGATAGTGAGGGACCTTATCATCCAACTCTCCCCAAATTATTTTTTGTTATTGTTGTTCAGTTATTTTTCTGCCATGTCTGACCTTTTTTTTTTTTTTGGTGAGGCAATTGGGATTAAGTGACTTGCCCAGGGTAACGCAGCTAGTAAATGTCAAGTGTCTCAGGTCACATTCGAACTCGGGTCCTCCTGACTCCAGGGCCAGTGCTCTATGCACTGCACCACCTAGCCACCCCTCACATCTGACTCTTTGTGGCCCCAAGTACTTTGCCATTTCCTTCTCCAGCTCATTTTACAGATGAGGAAACTGAGGCAAACAGGGTTAAGTGACTTGCCCAGGGTCACACAGCTAGTAAACATTTGACATCAGATTTGAACTCAGGAAGATGAGCCTTTCTGATTCCAAGCCCAGTGCTCTATCCACTGGGCCACCCAGCTGCCTCAATGAGGTCTAAGTTCCACTTATGAATGCTTCATCTACAGCAAGATTGTAGTATGACTCAGCTGCAAGCAGTCTAAATCTCTTTTGCTCAGCTTTAGGAGAGACAATAGAATCACGGGTGTTGGGGTTGAGTTTCCTTATCTTTAAAATGAGGATGTTGGATGAGATGATCTTTGCAGGCCATTCCAGCTTTAAATCTTGGTGTTTCAAGTGGTCCAACGCCTTCCTTTTCCAGAGAAGGAAATGGAAACTCAGAGAGGGATAAAGATGCTAACCTAACAGGTAGCAGAGAGCTGGCGTTAGAACTATTATTTATTAAGAGAAAGAGCACGTTGGGGGATGATGTTTAACACTCTACAGATTTTATTCCTGTTCTACACATTTAAATGTATATTTTAGTACTTTGTGATCCAGCAAATGCAAGTTTTGTTATGGAATGCTTGTATTTAAATAGGACAGGCATCCTGTATTTGTTGATAATATGGGAATTACATGGCTTTATAAGCCCAGAAAAGCAGAGGACCCAGAGGGAAGCCAGCTGTTCTTTGCATGGGATTGAATCCATTTTCCATCAGTGTTTTCCCTTAATAGTCTAATATTTAGCACATTCTCTCCTCTGAGTTAGAGAACTGTACCTACTTGCATGATTTCCTAACATTTTCAAGCAGAGCTGAAAAAGGAACCCAGGAGGTAAGAAAAGCCAGTGATGAAATTAAGAAAGAAAATATAAAAAATATAAAAAAAATTATGTCCATGTGTATTATAGTAAATCCCATTACTGTAATATTGCTCCTTTCCCCCTTCTGTCTAGTGGTGACAATAGATGGTTTCTTTCACTATTTCAAATGTTTCACTGGATTTCACTTTCTATGACTCAAGTTAATTTATTGAGGTGTGTATGTATGTTGGGAATATATCACCTAAATATATGAGAGACTTTGTACAATCTGACTCAGTCACTGGACTTGGATTGTGCCTTGCACTTTTCAATGTTTACTGTATTCATTATTCTTAATTCCAAAGAATGAACATCAAGACCTTAGTTATTTTTTTACCAATTAATACATTTTTTACCTCGTCCCCCAGACAAGGAAATGGCTGTTCTTCAGGAATCAACTGAGCATTCTTAACAAAACTATTTTTGTTGTGTGATGTTACCTTTTAAATTAAAATTTTAATTATCCCCCCCCGTGCCAAGATCAGACATTAATTTACTTTAATTATATATTAAAGGGGAATTATATGTCAGCCGAAGATGTCAGACACTTGGCAATAAATACTCTGATGTCTGCCCCATAGGTAGCTTATGTTTTTCTGTTTATCCTATTCCTTTCAAGGCAGCATGGGCTGGTGGAAAGAGAGCCTGCATTTGGAGTCAGAGGACATGGATTAAAACTATAGTTCCACTATTATATATATATGTGTGTGTGTGTATGTGTGTGTGTGTGTGTATATATATATATATATATATATATATATATATATATACATATATAATATATATGTGTGTGTGTGTAAATATATATATATATATGTATATATATATATATATATAATTTGCTATTTACTATGACAGCCTTGGGCCTATCACAACCTTTGAGAGCCTCAGTTTCCTCAAATGTAAAATGTGGGACTTGGAATAGAAATTCTGTCTCAGACACTTCGATACTAAGTATGTGATCCTGGCCTATCTACTTAATTTCTCTCAGTCTCAGTTTATTCATCGATAAAATGGGGATAATAACAGTGCCTAATATTAACATCATCCAGGGTTGTTAAAAGGATCGAATGAGAAAATGTATGCAAAATGTTTTGCAAACCTTTTAAGGTTTGCTTTATAAGTAAGGTAGGTAAATAATAAAGTAATGAGAAGTAAATAAATAATAAAAAGATGCTATATGAATGCCCGTTGTCATTATTGTCGTTAGCACTAAGTTTCTTCAACCTTTCAAAAGTTTGTTAATCACCTTCTATGTGCCAACCACCCCATTACCCAGTAAGGGGAACAGTGCTTGCTTAGTACTCACTCATTTCGAAAGTTGTACTGCCCTCAGGCCCTAGTGATCCTAATGATATATGGAAAATAGTGTGTGTTCGTAAGGAAGTGGTATGATGTTATAAACTTCAAGAGTTAAACTGATAGCCTTGAAATGAGAAGTTTCTTGCACTAATGTTCAACTTTTTCCTCCAGAGGTTACCTTGTTCTCTTAAAGTTTAGGGATTTATTCCAATCATGGAGGAGCAGCTTTGCCACTATACATTTCAAAATTTTAGATAGGATCCTAAGATTTAGAGGTCATCTATGCCAAATGATTTTTTTTTACAGATGTGGGAACCGAGGTCTAGAAAAGCAAAGTGACTTGTCCAAGGTCACAGAGGCAGTAAATGTCGCTTCCAGGATTAGAACCCAGATCCTCAGATTCAAAGCCAGGGCTCTTGACATGACACTGCAGAAACCATGCTAATTTGGTTAAATGTTAGCAATTAATTTTTCCAAAGAGTTTAGATCTTACAAGATGGCAATTAATCTACAAAGTATATGTAATGTTCCACGTGCACTGGAAGGCATGCAATAATATATCACACCCAACACCAGATGTAGTTACCTTTAACTTGGGTGACATTGTCTCCTGTCGGTAGGAAAATTTGGTAAGGAGAGGAGGTGAATGGGTCTGGGCAGAACCAGGGATTGTAGAGAGAGAGTCAGAGATGGGTGCCAAGGTAGAATGAAATGGAGGGCTAGTGGAAAGGCGGCGAGGGGAAGTTGTAATCCCTTCATCTTCTGGAGAAAATGATGCTGGCTTAAATATTTTAAAAAGACAAGAAGTCAATATACTATTCAGTTGTCATTTTCATGCTTGACGTTCACCCCTAATCCCAGCACTCTAATAATGAAGCACTGATGTGTGGGTATGTTAGTATCACAATTCCCAATGGACCATTTTACTTTTTTTGTGGCTTGGGGGCCGGAAAAAACCAAAGCTACCTATCCTCTAATTTCATTTCAATTTTCTAGAAAGCCTTTGAGAATAAGTCTTTCTAACTTAAAAGTCTTGAAAAGTTAGCAATATGAATGATTACTGCATTATGGTTAAGTCTGAAAGAATATAAAAGGAGCTGGTTAAGTTTAGAAATAAATGTTTAGGTCCCCTTCTAGATCTTAAAGTCTTTGCATCCAGGTGTCTCTCCTGGGGAGCTTCTCTCTTGATTCATGGATTATTAGAGCAGGAAGGGATATCAGAGAACATCTAGCCCAACCCCCTTGACTCCTATGGTTTCCATTTTTCCCATGTTCACATTTGTCTTTGTTTTATAGTTACTTATATATGTGTCCCACCTCCCCTTATAGAACATAAGCTCCTTAAAGTCAGAGACTGTCTTTTAATCTTTATCCTCCTTACATCCACATCTCAGACTACCTAATTTCCTCCAAAGCTCATCTTGGACACCACTACATCCTTTCCTGGTTACCCAAGCAGCTAATGTCTCCACACCACCAAATTTTCTTTCATTTATTTTTGTGGACATGTTGTGCCTTTCTTTCTGTGTGCAAAATCAGTAAATAGAATCAATGAATGCAAAGGACATTTTGCTAAGAGGCCTTCAATCATGGGCCCAGTGGCAGAGTGAGAATTAGAAGGCAGTCAGGATCATCCTTAGAAGATGATCTGCTTTCTGGATGTACAGAAGAGAAAAATAAATAGGCAAATGGCTGAAAATGCCCTATATTTTTAACATTTTATCTAAATGCTAAGGGTTGCTGTGCTGTGATCTACAAAAAAACCCTTCTCTCCCTTAGTAGGTAAAACCTTTCATGTAAATAAACTCCCTTGCCCATTTTGATGTCTAGGGTTAAGTGAATGCTCAATAAGTGTTAAATACTAATTATTATAAAATGGAATTATCTAATTGTGATGGTTAGTTCTTTAGTTAATAATCTAAATTAAAATACCTCTTTATTGGTACTGGCTGCACTCCAGTCTTCCTTAAATATCCTAGGGTCATTTATAATTGCCACTGGAGATGTTAAGCAATCGTGTTTCATCTCCTCATCTTCCTCCTCTATGTATAGCCTTGGTGCTTCCTCTGTAACATCAGCTTCATACTGAAAGAAATCTGACTCTTGAAATTTTGGCTTCCTTCCGTGGATGATTGACATTAATTCATCACAAGGGTCCTCTTCTTTTTCTTCAATGACAGGGAGGGTTTGGGACAAGGTACCCACATTATACTGGACAGAAGTAGCAACCTTATCACCCAGGAGTTCAGGTACCTTTCCAATATTTGAAAAGTTTCTTTTTTCTTTGTTAGCAGGAGAACCTTTCATTTCTTTCCAATCTGCACATATTTTTTCAGCTGGTTTTTTATACTCCTGAATTATCACTGCATCATGGAACTGAGAGGCTAGAGGTGAGACGGTACCAGAAGAAACAAGTGGCAGAGGGGATGGCATTTCAGTGGGATCTCGTGTCTTGATAACAGAAGGGTTAGCCTTAACTTGAGCACTGCTATTTCCTAGGATTTCTGAATCAGATTGACCAGTTGATAAGGTTAAAGCCTCAAGCTTTTCTAATTCATCCAAGAAGTTGTCAGGAAAAGGAGGTGGAGTTGGGGTCAGAGGGCTTGAAGGTAGAAACCCCATAGTCAGTGATAACCATTCATTGGTGATTCCTTCTCTAGCCCCTTTATTAGAATGTGGGCAAGGTGACATGAAAGGAGGGCAGGATGCACTGTGAGCCAACTTTACACATGAACAAAAGTATAGGAGGAAAAAAAGAAAGAAGAAAAGATAATGTACCACAACATGGACAGACAGAGAGAGAGAGGGGGAGAGAGAGAGAGAGAGAGAGAGGTAGAAGAGGTGTAATGTTGTACAAAAAAAAAAACCCTGTGTCAGGTTTTGGATTAGAAGGAAGATATTTCAGTGAGAGCAAATGCATGAAATCATTAGCATATGAATCAGAAAAGTTATTTGAAAAGTGAAATTCTATCAGCCTTGGATGGGATCACAAATGTCAAAGGCAAGATAGATGTGAATCAGAGTTCATGAAGAAAACTAAAATATCATCTCTTCAGAGCCCTATTTACTGTTTGGTCTCTTCTGAGTTAGTACAGTGAAAAAAAATCTGAAATAACTTCTCAAACCACGGCTAGACTCGTTGAATAGAAACAAAAGGTGAACTCCTTCCTGTAATTTATTAAGCATATGTTTTACCTCTCAGTGTCAATTTTTTTGAACTCATTACTTTTTTACCTTGGGATTTCAAAGTGATTTTTAACTATTTACATACTTTAAAATATTTATGAAGCAGTAGTACATTAAAGGATTTTAAATGAAAAAGATTTCAAAAGCACAAAGAAATGTGATTGGGATTGAAATGAACCCAGAATAGTAAGGTGTCTGCCAAAAAAAACCCAAAACAAAACCAAAAGCATTCCCATATTAGCAAGAGTCTCTTCTTGGGAAGAACTCAAGACTTCTTTATAGAAACACGCTCTTATGTAGTGTAGTTCATACCAAAGAAAATATAGGTTTGCATTTTAGCCATGTTATGTATAAATTTTGGTTATATTTCATAACAGCAGAAATTATTGAGTAATTCTAGAGGTAACCGCCATATTGTTCTATATTACTTTTTTTTATAGTGGTGATGGAAAAGGAAAAAAAATGCCATGTTTTATAACTGTAAATGATCTTAACTAAGGTAAAGAATGGCTTTTTACTGTACCCTGAGTTTGTAAATAAAACACTTTACAGAAGGGAGTTAGTTGAATACTTTCTGGTTCATAATTTAGTTTCACATTTTATTCACTGTAAGTGGATGGCTCTTCTCTAAGCTTCTTGGACCTTGACAGCGTTGTATTCTCTAAGACAAAGGGTGCTTTAATCTACATTCATTTGACTATATTTCACTCTAAATATTAATGGTACAGTCTAGGATGATCTCCACTGAAGTCCTGTGGTGTCTCCTTACTGCGTAGATATGATCTGGGCTTCTTGAAGGATATTTCAGAGCACTGAATCGATATTTCAGTTTGTCCTACTACATTGGAAAGACTCAGTACAGGTCAAGCACCAGCCGAGCTCAGTCTGAAGGGTTCGACACCAGTAGGGTGGTCAACAAGTGATGAAGTTTTTGGGGACTCTGCCAGCTCATGAAAATTCTAACAGGTGTTTCTTCAGACTATAGCTACAAATATTTTAAAGTTTGTGAACATGTTCTATTCCTAACTGTAGCTATTAAAAGACTATCTAAATTCCTAATCATATAAACTTTAAAATCTAGTCTAAGGAATAACTTTGAAATCTGATTTTAAAAGGCCTCAAAACAATTCAATGCAAAAAAAAAATTCAAGGAAAATTGTGTGGGAAGGGATTTCACAAGTCATCCATTCTAATCCATACCTGAATAAATAGCACCTCCACACATCCCTCCCAGTGGTTCTTTAGTCTCTAATTCAAGACCTTCAGTAAGGGGGAATCTATTGCTTTTTCTTGAAGCCCAGTCTGCTTCTAGATAACTAAACATTAGGAACTTTCCCCCTATATCAAGTCATAATTAGCTTATGGGCAACTTCTTCTACCTATTACTTGTATATCAATTCACTGGGACCAAGAAAAATAGATCAAATCTCTCTTTCATATGACATTCCTTCAATTAAATTTGAAGGCTGTTATCATGTGCCCTCTAAGTCTTTTCTTCAGGCTAAATACCCTCAGTTCCTTCATTTAATCCCCTTGGTTGTATAGTTCCTCATCATCTTGGTCTCCTCTTTGTCTGGTTTTGCTGCCATTAACTAAGATATTCTAAGACTGTAAATGTTAGAAGCTGTGCACAGAGATATTTTTTTCCCTCCCCTTAAAAACAGACTTAGTAATATGAAACTAACTCCTTTACCAGACACACCTATTCCCTACCACTGAAAGACTGAGTTTTTAAGTCAAAGAGTATTACCTTTTCTTTTTCTTTCAAAGTTAGGGACTATTGTACTTGGAAAGGGAAAGTCCCTTAATAGTTTTTGGGAGTAGATTACAGAAACTAAAATTTAATTGACTAAGCCCTTAAACTCCATCAATCATAATGTAATTATCATATAAAAACATAGGAGAGCTTTTCCTGGGGCTCAAGACCAGTTATAGGTACATGTTAGAATAGATTCTCTCTAAGCCCCTCATTCCTGTACTCCAGGGTAATTCTCCTAGGATAATGACTCCACGTTCATGGGTCCTGCCATAGCAATGTTGTTTTTAACAACATTTATATCCTTATCAATTTAATCACACTAGATTTTTTTTTTATCCACACCATTTACTGAGTCTCAATCCTGATTGAAAAATGAAAGGTCAATTATTTAACTAAAAACATAGCTACCACCAAATAACCTGAGAAATACCAAAAGTGCCTTGGAATCAATTCTTTGAGAATGTTAAGTTATATACATGGAGGTTATGAAAAAGAGGTAGAAATTCCTGTGCTACTTAACACAATGCCTGGTGTATAGTATGTGCTCCTTTTTGTTGTTGTTGACTCATTTCAGTCATTTCTGACTCTTCATGACTCCATTTGGAGTTTTCTTGGAGTGGTTTGCCATTGTAGTTGCTTAATAACTGTTTATTGACTGACAAAAATAAAGAATGGGAACATGCAGTCATTTGATTCCTTACAGAGTTTTTTTTCCCCCCACCCTCTAACTTATCTCTCATCCTATTCTTCCTCCATTCTTCCAGATTAATCTCCCAGATTAATTTTCTATATGTACAGATATCATCATGCCACTCCCCTGATCTACTTTGGTAGATTCCTACTCTTTCCTGCTAAATAAAAACAAAACCCTCAACCTGGCATTCAAGTTTGGCACCATCATACTTATCCTATCACTTCCTGCCATGTACAGGAAGCTACAGCCAAAATGAACTACTCCCCTTTCCCCATTCACATACATCACTTTTCTGGGTCTGTGCTGTTCTCTATGCATGGAATGTCTTCTCTTCCTTTGGACTGCCTACCCATCCTTTAAAATCCAACTCAACTCTTCCATGAAGACTAACTTGATTTCTCCATCAAGAAAAAAAACATTTTCCACTAAGCCTTCATGTCTCTTCCCCTCCTCCCTCCCATTTGAACCTCATGTATTATTTTGGAAATTAAAGTTATTTTTATTTATCACATTTGCTCCTGCTCCAAGGGGAGAAATGACTATATCATATCAACACCTTGTTCTCTGAGCACATTGCAGACTTGGCAACTGTTGAACTGCACTGAATTTGTTGAACATAAACATGAATTAACAAAATAAGTTCTTTATGACTAAAAAACAAAATGTAGCAGCACAAAAGTAAAATTCTAATGAGTAAAGCCATGAAGTAGATCTCCTATCCTACTTCCATCATGGATAATCAACACAAGTCAGTGTCCCTAAAGCTAGATCACAGTTTTCATTATAAGAATGAGCAAATGGGGTTTTTAAATACCTAAGAACCTCTCCATTCAAATACATGAGTTTGTAAGTACAAATAGGAATCTAATGGTTCATTTATTATGCCTTTCTGTATGTGTTCACAACAATCATATCCTTTTTTTGATAAACCATTTTCTTGGTCACCAGACTGGTGTCTACGGAAAATGCTTTGGAAAACAAAAGAAAATCCATATATATATATATATAATATATTATATATATATATATATATATATATATATATATATATATATATATATCTCCAAGGTATGTGTAATAAACACCTATTTTACAAGGATACTTGATACTATAATATAATGTTCTGATTGTTATTATACATATGAATAATTTATCTGGACCCATATGTTTAAGTTACCAGTCTTTCCCCATGTAAAACTGATCTATTCAAGATTGCACTATCATCATGTTATCTCTTCTTACCTTATTTGAACTTAAGCTGTGTATCCTGTCACTAGAATAGCTGTGGGGTATTGGAGGGTCAGGATAATCATCAGCACTTTTTGTGATATTCTTTTTGATGACTTCTACATAGGAAACAGGGAAGATGCCTTGTCTGTTGGTTCCTGGTATTTTACCTTCATACCAATTTTGATCAACTCTTTTAAGAAGAATGACTCTATCTCCCTGTAATTAAAATATACAAAATGCATAACTATTTGTGTACTAAGTAAGAAAAAAACTAGGCAAGTAGATCAGTGGAATAGACTGAATAATCATGATTAAAAATAAATACTCCTAGCAATTAATGTTTGATAAACACAAGAGCACTAAATGGGACTCCTTATTCAACAGGAACTTCTGGGAAATCTGGAAAATGGTTCAGACCAGTATCTTATACCTTATGCCACAATTAATTTCAATGGGATAAAAATTGAAACTTAAAAAGTCATATCATAAAAATTGTAGGAGAAAGGGTATATCTTTCACAGTTATGGACTAGAGAAATTGCACAGCCAGATAAGGCACAAAAAGGATCATAAAAACAAAATGGAAATATTGATTATGCAAAATTTTAAAACATATTTTGCATAAATGAAGTCAATGAAGCTAAAATCAGAAGATATATTTATATAATATACATTCACATGTAAAAATTTTTTTGCATCACATAACCCTGATAAATTAAAGCCTGACATCCAAAACCTGTAGGGAATTGATACAAATATGCATATATATGTATATAATGTGTGTATGCATACACACCTATATATTAGACAATTTTCCCAATAAACATGTTCAATGAACACAATTTCCAAAAAAAACCAACTATCAATGACTTCTAAAGTGATTTAAATAAATAATAGGAGAAATGCAAATTAAAACACCACAACTAGTTAAAGATGCAAAATAAGAAAACTCATTGTTAGAAGGGGATGATAAAAAGCTGGGAATTAAATATGTCCAACAATTGGAGAAAGGTTGCAAAAAGTACAGTACGTCAGTATAATGGCATATTGTTGTGTTGTAAAGGATGATGAATATAAAAACTGCAGAGAAACATGAGAAAATTTATGTGAAGTGATTATAGAATAAGGAAAATGAGTCCAAAAGAACAAATTACATGAATTTAATGATGCAATCACTTCTATTAAGTTGTTGCATTTTTAATGGATTTCATTGAAAAGAGAATAATGAGAACTCATGGGTAGAAATCTTAAGATTATTAATGAATTGGTGGGTATTTAAATAGGGTAACCTGATTTGTGAATTTGAATTTTGAGATTTAAATAAATATAACATTGATATAAAACTTTTAATGTGGATTATGTTTTAAATAATATTTAGCCATATTGAATTCATTAATGAGGGAAAATTTTTAATACCTTTCTCAGGGATAACTCCACATTTGTATCTGCATTAAAATTGTATTTGGCTATAGCTTCTCCAATTTCTCCAAGCTGAGCTGGGGGTGGTGGTCTTGCAGGTTGAGCTTTTTCTGGAGGGCTGAGTTTCTAAAATGAGAACAGTTACTTCTGCATGAATATGTGTTATTTCTGCACCAAACAGATATCTCCCTCCTTGCTCATTAATCCAAGAGAAAAGAAGAACAGACAAACCTCTACATAAGAGATTGGAAATATCCCTACTCGTCCATGGTGCTCTCCCTCATACCAATTTTGATCAATTTTCCTGAGGATGTAGACAGTGTCCCCTTTCTTAAATGACAATTCCCTGCAATAGACATTTTCAAATGATTAGGTCTTTAGTTTTACAATTGATTATATACATATCAATGGTTCTCCAAACCTTTATATAACTTGTCCAGTGTGTTAACACACTGGCAAGCCCAGGTAGTTAAGCATTTCCCTCCTAACAATTTATGAGGCATATAAATCATTTTAGACATAATTTCAACTACATTATCACACACACACACACACAGACACACACACACACATACAAAATGCCAAATGATGTTTCATGTGTTGTTTGCTCAGTCAACTAACACCTATGAGCCAAGCTCTTTTCTAAATTCCGGGAATACAAATAAAAGGGCAAAAGAAAATCTTTGTTCTCAAGGAGTTCATTGAGATTGATACACACATATAAAGGTGTATATATACATATATATATATATATATATATACACACACACTTATATGTATTTATGTATATATACACACGTATCCATATATGAACATATTTTATTTATATTATATACATGACACTCTAATTTGCTAATAGTGCCTAATAAGCAACCATCAGATTCAGAATAAAAATTTAACACACAAAAATGCACTAATCTGCTAATATTATCTGGTTGATAATAATAATAACCAGCATACACACACACACACACACACACACACACACACACATTAAGGCTTACAAAATATTTTATGTAACAAGAATCATGTGATGAAACCTTGAATTTTGTTTTATTTCAACAGCTTACTAAGAAATATGCGTGTTAAATGCAAAGTGGTACTACAGATTACATGTGTTTTCTTTATGCTTTCCATCTTGTTCAAAACCTGAATGTTTCATAAAAATCTTTTTTTTTTGGTTTTCAGTTTTCAGTTTTTCAATACTCAATTTAACCAATACTTATTATCTACTGCTAATAATAACAGCTCATGTTTACATTGTGCTTTAAGATTTACAAAGCACTTTTCTCATGACCACCCTGCAAAGCAAGTAGTACAAATATTATTTTCCCATTTTACAGATGGAGTCCCCAGATATTAAATGACTTGGTCAAAGCCAGGTCTCTTGACTCTGAATCCAGCACTGTTTCCATTTTACCATTTGCAAGACACTATACTAGGTTCTCCAGGGGTTTCCAGAGTGAGTCAGAGAGTTAGACCAGCCCTCAGAGGTCACCCAGTCCAACCTATACCTGAATAGTAAAGGCCTTTATGACATACTCAACAAGTGAGGTCCGCCTTTGCTAGAAGACAAGGAAGAACACATTACCCAAGGCAGCCCACTTTTCTTTGAATAGCACCGATTTTTAGGAAGCTTCTCCTTAGGTCAAGCTCACATCTACTTCTTCAAATCTTCTCCCCCTCACTAGCTCTTCCCTCTGTTAGAGTCATTCATATCCCTCTTCCACATTACATTACTGTGATACAAGGCAGAATACAGCATGTACCATGGTGGGGAGAGGAAAAGAAACAAACATTTATTAAGTGCTTACTATGTGTCAGGCACTGTGCTAAGTGCTTTACAAATATTGCTTTATTGATCCTCACAATACCCTGGGAGAGAGATGATATTTCTATCCCCATTTTACAGTTGAAGAAACTGAGGCAAGCAGCATTTAAGTGACTTGCCTAGAGTTACACAATTAGTAAGTGTTTGAGTTTGTATTTGAATCTAAACTCAGTGCTGTATCCATTGCACCACCTAGCTGTCATAGGAGAATGCTATGGGTGCAGTGGGAATTCAGAAGTGGGAAAGACTACGTCAGATTGCAAGGAGATTAGAGATGGAAGAATGTTTCACGTAAGGGGTGACTTTTAAATTAGACCTTAAGGGAATGAGTTGGATATGGAGGAAGAAGCAACATGCAGAAGGCAGTGAAGGTTGTACAGTAGCAAGTACTCTAGTTTCAAAGAAACACGGGCTATTGATAGGAAGAGAAGGCTAGAGAGACTGGCTGGGGCTCTTGTTGTTGGTGTTTGTCCTTCACTTTTAAAGATGACCAATGACATCATGGGGTGAACTGGATTTAAGTGAGGCAGAGTTGCACAAAATCGTCAGCCTCATTCTCTCTTCCAGGGTCATAGGAGCCCGAGGCAAAACAAAAGTCAGGACTGGCAATGGCCCAGGATGCAGTGGAAGACCTTGGTGTTTTTGATGTCTAAGCACTCCATAGTGCCATAGTATGGAGGGCTTCGAATGGCTAGTTGAGGAGTCTGGATATAGCTTTGTAGGCAGTGAGTCTATAGTGAACCATTGAAGGTTTCTGTGATATCTTTTTTTTTTAATTTTTAAGCAGTTGGGGCTAAGTAACTTGCCCAGGGTCACACAGCTAGTAAGTATCAAGTGTTTGGTCTGAGGCCAGATTTGAACTCAGGTCCTTCTGACTTCAGGGCTGGTGCTCTATCTACTGCGCCACCTAGCTGTCTCTATGAGATATCTTTTAGAAGGGCTTATACAGGATTGTGTAGGAATGGTTTTACCAGCCTGCCATTCCTGCTCTTTTTGTTGTGCCATTCTTCAACCTGGAACACCAGAGGCTATGCCTAGGTATGTGAATCCTAGAGCCACTCAACTCTGCCTTCCCTGGGAAGACGGTATTCCTATTTATCCCAAACACTTTCTGCCCTGCAGCTGCATGCTTCTTTCCCTTCTACCTCTTTCTCTGGGACTTATTTTCAAATCTGTGTGTCTGTCTATCTCTGTATCTAACTCTCTGTCTCTCTATCCATCTACCTATCCACACTGATACCATTTCATCTGGAACAAGGGGGAGTTAATGGCTGGCTGGCTGTATAGTTTCCCTTACCATATTTATGATTTCCCAAACCATAACTTTTTACCTGACCACCACTGTCCTCTTCTTTGTCCCATTAGAGTATAAGCTCTTAAAGAGCAAGGACAATCTTAATTTTAATATTTATACCCCCATTGCTTAGCACAATGTTTGGAACATATTAAGGCCTTAATACATGTTTTTTCACTGGAATAGTTAATCAATCCATTAATAAATATTTATTAAGCACCTATTATATTGAGAAACTATAGGCAGTGAGACCAGATAAGTATTTTTTAAAATTGCTTCCAGGGGTGGGGAACCTGTGGCCTTGAGGCCACATATAGCCTTCTAGGTTCTTGGGTGTGGCCTTTTGACTGAGTCCAAGTTTTACAGGGCAAATCCTTTTATTATGAGGATGTGATGGCAACGGGAATAGAAAGGAGGAGACCAATGGAAAAAAGCAGAGGGGGAAGATAATGACCTGGACAACACCAGGCTGATGAGGCCAATGGTGGGGAGAGTTTCATGAAGGAAGGCAATAATATTGAATACAGCAGAGCAGAGAGGTTGGGGAGGACAAAACCTGAATGATTGATGGTGCTGGAAGGTAGGAGGTCAATTCTGACCTTGGAAAGAAAAGTTTCAGTTACAGAGAGAGGACAGGGAAGCATTAGACTTGGCCTTCAACAAGTTTGGGAGTTAATGGAAGGAAAGAGCTATTTTGGAAGCCTGAAGAAACAGCAGAGCCAAAGGAAGATTTTTTGTTTTTACAAGATTAATCTGGTGTCCTGTTTAAGCTGCTGCTTTAGCTGACCCTATGAGAACTCCTTCATAAATAACAACCTATCCTTCTTTATCTGTTTGGAAGTCATCCTAATTTCAAAATATATCACTCAGTGAATATTTTTTCATTTGTTAAAATTCCTCAGATAAGGTGAAGAAAAAAATCCTTTACAGCTCATTTGTCTTTTTGGTACAGAAGATATTAAAACACACACAGAATCTTCTCTTTGCCTTCATTCCTGTTAGAGACACTTCCATTTAGGAGAAGATGAAGCTTCCAGTGGGCTTCAGTAATTGAAATACTTTGTAATCCTATGCATTTTATGTATTCAAAAATATTACTATAGGAAGGTCTATGGCTTCACCAGATAGCCAGAAGGGTCCATGACACAAGATAGGTTAAAAAAAAACAAACCCTGGTTTAGACTGATTATTTATGACCCTTCAAATTCAATCATGTAGTCATGTGACAACTCCTACATCATTAAAAAATGGGGATAAGCACTTGAAAAGGATATAATTCTTAAATGTAGGGTTGCATTTTGGATACTCATTGAGAATCAGCAGGACGTAACCTTCATCTCAGTATGATATGACTGAGTGTGGATAGATTTTTTTAAGGTCCTTAAAATAAAGGTGAGGGTCATTTAATATAATTTAATGGAAAGGGTTTCCTATTACAAATAGCTAATTTTGTGGGAATCATGGGTTAATTAACTTTTTATAGCAAGACAGTGATTGCTTTTATAAAATCAAATGATTGTTGAAGAATAAGTAGGATAGTTTTAACAACATATTTATCATCCCAATGTAACTGATTAAAATGATACATTCCAGATGTTTCTCTAATGGGTTTTACTGTTCAATGGTCAAGCTATAGATTTTAACATAATTCAAATTTAAATATAATTAAAAGTTAAATGTTATAATCCAGCTTCTGGATATGGCTAAGGCAGAGAATGCCAGATAGTTGTATCTATAAAGTAATTTAAATGCAAAGTATCAAAATGGGTTTGAGTTTTCCTATTCGAATGTTAATAAATGTCTTTGCTTTCCTTTTTATTTACAGTGCTAAGCACAAAGCCTGGCATATAGTAAACACTCGATAAATACTTGTTGACTGCCTAATAGCTGTTTCATTTTCTAAGCTATAATGTAATAAAATATCTTTTTTTATCATGTTTTTGGCAGAAAACTTGATGAAAATGTCTCGAATACTGCTTAATAAAATTGATGTTATAGGGAAAAATTTTTTTAGTAGGCTGAATCAAAGAAAACTGGATTTGGTACCCGAGAACCTTGGGTTCAAATCATAGTCTTATTACTGAGTGTGTGACCCTGGGCAAGTCATTATCTCCTCTGAGTCTGTATTCTTATCAGGAAAATGAGGTAATTGGATTACTAAGACTCCTAAGCTTAGGTTCTATCTCCAGTGTTAACCTTTTCCCCGTTTTTAGCTGTTAATTTACTTTATATTTCCTTGTCTCAAATTCCCTTGTTTTACCTCATCTGTGTATAAGCTGAATAAGAACATATGTTCTTAATCGTATAAGTTCCTTGAAAGCTGGCTCGTTTAATTTTTTTTTGCCTTTGTATCGCAGTGTGCCTAGTGCATAGTGGACAAAGTAGCTAGTGAACACTTAATGGCTAGTGGATACTTAGTAGCTAATATTTATACAGCACTTCAATGTTTAGGTCAGCTCATCTGAAGCCAAGGATAGTTCATTCCTTTCTCCATTCCTTCCTTCCTCTTTTTCTCTTTCTTCTGTTCTTCCTTTCTTTCCTTCCTTCCTTCCCTCCTTCCTTTCTTATCCCCCACTGGGTGGAACAGGATCTTGCATGTATGGAGCAGATGTTTACTCAATTGAAAGTAATTGGCTAGATAGCATCAAAAATCCCTTCAGGTATTAAGTCCTGTTAATCCTGCTGTATAAAAGCCAGATAGCAGGTTTAAGAATTGATTAACACACACACACACACACACACACACACACACACACACACACACACACACACACACACACACACATCTGTGATTTCTTTGGTGAAGGGAATTCCTGGTATGGACATTCCCACATTCACTTTACAGATAAGGGTCAGTGCCTGTCCAGCAACTGGTGCTTTGGGAAATCACTTGGAGCACTGAGAGTTTAAGTGACTTGTCCATGGTTATACAAGATAGTGTGTATGACCAGCAGAATTTGAACTCGGGTCTTCCTGAATCTCAGGCTAATTCTCTATCCATCCCACCATGCTATGGCTTGAGAATAGAAGCTTAATCCTAATTTGATTTGTTTAACACATTCCAGCAGAGTCATTCTTACATCCCCTTGTTTAATATTTTGATTCCTTTTTCTGTGACGAAGATGAGGAGGGACTAAAGGATGAACTGGTGTTATTTGTTATGAAGAAGATAACACTGGGAGATATTTCAGTCTCAGCTATATAAACATATAGGGAATAGTGACCATCTGTTCCATCTCTACTGCAGACAGTACAAAATCGCAGGGAAGGATTTAAAATAAGTGGAAGAATTCCATCCCAGTGAGGACTGTTAAATATTGGAATGGGTTTTCTGGGTGGCTATGAGATCTACTCATTCCCCTGGAGATTTCTAAAAGCAGATAAATTACTTTCTCCCTTGGAAGGATTAGGTATAGCCCTGCTTGAGGAATTCACAGGATTTAGAGAGGATGTAGTCATCTCCCCAAATAAATGACCTGCTAGCCCTAAGATTGTGTGGCATGGCAACCCAGTGCAGGAAAGAGGTGCTAAGGAGCTGCCAAGAAAAGACTGAAGGGGCCCCTTTAAGGAGAAAGGCACATCTGGAGAAGGTGGGAAAAGAAAGAAAAAGCATAGATTTTCTTAATGCTTCTTGGGAAGCTTTCAGGGCATACCCTAAAGGGATGGGGAACCTGCGGCCTCTAGGCCATATGTGGCCCTCTAGGTCCTCAAGCACGGCCCTTTGACTGAATCCAAACTTCACAGAACAAATCCTTTTATTAAGGAGATTTGTTCTGTGAAGTTTGGATTCAAAGGGCCACACCTGAGGAGCTAGAGGGCCATGTGTGGCCTCATGGCCGCAGGTTCTCTACTCCTGCCCTAGAATAACAAGACACGACCAGCTTCTGCCCATGGCAGCTAGGTGGCATAGAGGACAGAGCACCAGTCCTGAAGTCAGGAGGCCCCGAGTTCAAATTCAGCCTGAGACACTTACTGTGTGACCCTGGGCAAGTCACTTAACCCTGTTTGTCTCAGTTTCCTCATCTGTAAAATGAGCTTGAGAAGGAAATGACAAACCACTCCAGTGTCTTTGCCAAGAAAACCCCAAATGGGGTCAAAAAGCACAGGACATGACTGAAATGACTCAACAGGTATTATCTCTCTGCATCTTTGCAGCAAGCCCGCAGTCTACACTGACCATTGGTTTTGGTCTGTAGGTGTTTGCAGGAGTTTCAGCAGTGCCTTGCTTTTCATAGAGCAGACACTCTATGCATACCTTTCCAAACAGTACTTAATTATAAGTCAGTTTAAAAATACCGATCTCATACCTTGTCCTAGAATTTAATTACAAGAGACTGAGCCAGATTATGCTGGACAGAGAATTTTTGAGATTGTGACCCTCTGAATTCCTTTCTTACTTTTCTATTTGTTAGACTCCAGTTTGTTTGATGTATTTCATATCCAGATGTTTTTCATTGACCCCCAAATATAAATAGGATCAACTGTCATATAAAATCTTAATGAAACATTTACTGGAATGAACTTCAGAGACAGGTTTGTTGAATGCAGATCCTACTATGACAATATTTCCTTTTTGTGGCATTAAAATCCATCATAATTATGTGGTGAATATTTGTACTACTTACTTAGATGTCTGGGCCTTAAAATCATAAACAGCTCTGGCTGGCAGCCTCTGAAATGGAAGGCAAACAATTAGCACTGACCTGGAAAAAATGGATTTTCCTTTTTTTAACTAGAAAATTGATTTCACATCAGTGAAAACAGAGGATAGTCTAATTCTTCAAAATGTCTGTGGTTTCACTACCATGGACCCTCTCCTCCCTGAATGTAGATTAGAACTCTTTGATGCTTTAACAGATAGCTTTCATTAGTTGCTGAAACCAAGTATAGATCCACTATCTTGTGGCTTCCTCATGGTTTCTGAACTGAGGATCACACAGCGGCATCAGGGACATAAGGCATAGAAGGCATGGAAGAGACTTTAGAGGCCATCTTGTCTAACACTCATTTTACAGAAGAGGAAACTGAGGCATGGAGCAGTTCAATGACTCGCCCAAGGTCATGTAGGTCACAAGTGGCAGAGACAGGATTTGAACCCAGCTCCTCTGACTCCAAATCCAGCACCCTTTCAACTATACCACAACTTAGCTAGGCTGATCCTTGGGTGACAGAAGGATCATCTGTGACTGGGCCCATAGGTGAAGGCTTTTTAGCTTAGTAGGAGCACAAGGTGAACTTCTTCTTGGCTGGCAAAATGTTGGAAGAACCAAAGGACTCTGCCAAGCCACATGAGTGGAGAATTAGACACCAATTTGAATGGCTGAAAATATATGGAATTTGCTTAGTTTTCTACTTAGTTACATTTCAAGGGAGTTATTGAAAGAAAAAAATGGAGGCCATATGTTTATTTTATAGGATACAGCATTAAGTATTAATCTATCAGAAGCCTAGGGGAGAAGACTCATTGGTCTTCGCCATCATTCCTCTGTATAAAGGAACATTCATTTTTGGACTGAAAGAGGGTGAAGGCCATAAAGGAGAGAGCAAATTTAATATTTATAAAGAACAGTTTTTATGGGGGGTCTAGCTCTATATTTCTTCTGAAGTGAATCAGGGTATAAATAAAACCTTAAAAAGAAGTGCTCCAAGCCCTAAAAGCACTAACCATCTCTCTTTTTTTTCTAATTGAGGGTGATTAAGTAATTGACAATTAGTTAGCCTAATAGCTGGAAGCTGTCATTTGCAAAAAGTACTTAGGTGAATATCTGGTGCTTTCTATGGGAGATGAGTAGGGAGAGGGAAGAACCTGGCTTTTAGGGTTAGTCAGGACCTAGGAACTCACTGTACCTTCTTGGGACATCTGAAGGTGCCATCCTTCTAAAGTGGAAAGAATGTCAAGGAGAAGTCTGATGATAATAATAATAATATTATTATTTAAGTAGTGCTTACTTGTGCCAGGCACAGTATTATTGCATCTGATCCTCACAAAAACCCTGGGAGGGAGGTGCTATTATTTACCCCCATTTTACAGATGAGGAAACTGAGACAAACAGAGATTAAGTGACTTGCCTAGGGTCACACAGCTAAGAAGTGTCTCAGGTGGGATTTGAACTCAGATCTTCCTGACTCTGGGCCTGGTGCTCTATCCACTGTACTGCTTTCTGGTCAGTCCAAAGCCTAGTAATCCTCACTAAGCTTTGATGGGAGTGGAATCCAGACCAAACTGGACCTTCACAGAGGTAGACCCTTGAACTGCCCTCTGACTTTGGAGTCACACAGACTAACAGCCAACTTTGGCTGAAAGAGGACTTTCTGGGATGGCTCTTAGCCCTCAGGATCCACTCAAATTCTCCTCCAATCCCACCACAAACTGCCAAACCTCAGAACCATGCTGGGGTTCAGCCACCTGCACCTAAGTAACCTACCAGCGATATTTCACTGTGACCTAGAACACCTCACTGACAAAGCAGGAAGTGCTTCTAAGGAGGTACTTTCTGGCCACTACCAGCAAACGTGACAAACAAATTAATGGAGAAAAAGTTTATGGCTTAGTGACTTCCCTCGGTAGTTAGTGGTAGAACTAGATGTGGTTAGTATCAGAACTCAAAGGACCTATCATCCCAGGCTAACACGTGAAGCCATGACCTGCCTCCTAGGCTGACATCTTGCTCTTTTTAATATGGAAATGAAGAAAAGTTTCTTGGGATCATTTCTCCTGCCTGATTTTCAGATACATTCTTATTTAGTGAGTGATTTATTAGATAGGTCACCTTAAATATAACTACAACTGCGACAAATATTAATGGTATATAGAGGGATAGGGACTGAGCCTATGAATTCATTGGTATAGTCACCTGCTAGGTGAGGAAACTCTTTCTCTCTTTCTCTCTTTTTGAAACTCTTTCTTTCAATGCAGGTTGGAACCTTCTCTTCAATTTATATAACCTTATAGACTGGCCTGGAGCATTGAGAAATTAAGTGACTTTCCCAACATTCCGCAATGAGGATGTGTTAAGGCAGGACTTAAATTTCTCTTTCTCTTTCTGTCTCTCTTATTGTAAAGACCTCCAAAGCCTTTGTGCCCCCGTTAATGAAAGATCCTGAATTGCCTGGACAAAATCAAGTCTGTGATAACAACCAATTGGTAGGGAGTTTGAATATCAACTAGCTGCCAGTTTCCTAGATACCATTCTCCTCCACCTCTTGCATGAATCAGAATCAGTCCTTGAATTTTGACCTGCACCCCAGGTCCAGGTTTCCTATTAACACCCCCTCCCCAGTGCTTGGCTGTGGTTCATTCAGTTAAGAACCCTAGAAAGACCAGTTGGGTTTTTTGGCTTGGGCACCCCCTTCTGCCAGACACCACAGCAGGAACTGACCTATTTCCATCCCCTTTGCTCCTTCTTATAGTATTCCCCCTTAATAAACCTGGCTTGCTTTTCTTGTTCTCTGCTGACTCTTGTCTTGTGGCATTCCACCCATCTCCATGTATCTCACCTTGAAGTCTTGAGATCTTATTTAAACTTATATAGAGACATATGCATCACTTTAAACTTCTGGAGTGCTTTCATACCTGCTGTCTCATTGAACCTACTATTTAACTACCTCTCTTTCCGGAGTTCCTCTTCTTTCCCTGGGAGCACTTCGACCCAAGTCAGTGAAAGCTGATGAATAACTTCTAGGAGACTCTTGGTCTATTGGAAAGAACAATGGTAAGCACATGGTGATTATCAGCTTAGTTTAAAAATAACCAACAAGTTCAACCATTTCTCAAGGTGGCTGATTGTTTTCTAAAAGATAAGAAACATAACTGGATGTGCAACACAATTGAAAATAAAAGTACAAAACTCAAAGGTAAGTTACAAACTTGTGACATACAGTTCACAAGAAGGTCGTGCTTGAAAACAGGTAAAAATATCAGAGACCACAAGAATTAAGTGGAAAAATGTTGAATGACAATGGTGTAACTAAAAGGTGATTCTTATGTTTCTGAATAATGACTTGGGAAAACAGATGAATTGATAAATGGGAAAATACTGAATTAATGGTAGTAGAATTTTATATCCCAACACTTGTCTATTCTTCATGTTTCCTACCCAAAGATCAACATTCAAGAGCCTACTGGGATCTTACAAGAGGACAGTTTGGAGGTTATACTCAAAACAAAGGCCCTCGGGAACATTTTGGTAAAATACAGTAATTTGATATTTTGGTCACGGGAAGAAATAGATGATAAAAGAATGAATTGAAAAGGAGAGGTTATGACCAAGCCTTTTTGTATTTTCCAAAGATGCAACACCCTGTTATATGTGACATTCTATTGTGCCTAGCTGATGTAATTTCTTGTTAAAAAGTCTATTTTTATCTAAAAAACAAAAACCCAGGGCATAACTTGACTCAACAATTAGAGCAGCTCATAGGCTGCCAATGTTTGCCCTGTTCCATTCACCTCAGCACCAAATGGGCATGCTGATTAACAGACGAACTCTGAGTACTCATAATCCTTAGCGTGGCTTCTATATAAGTTCTGCAGTTCTAAGAACTGCCTGTGAAGACCAGGGAAATGATTTAAAACTTTTCAGCACCAAGGAAGAATTAGCTAAGTGTTCCAGAACCCTGTTGCTGACTTTTTCCCCTGCAAGGCCTCATAGACATCATTTAAAAGACTGTATTTTTTAAATCCCATCAGCAAATTCAACTAGTCTGACTAACAGTAGGCACTAAATGTGAAGTCACTGTCTGATCTAATTTTGAAAAAATAGGAGAAAGGCCCTAGAGGAACATTATTCGGATTCTATGATACAGAGTGATCAGTTGGAGTAATTTATACACACATACTTATACATCATATATATTACACATAATATATATGTATTACATATTATAATTCCTTTATAATTGTTGGTATATATATGGTATATATCCTAATGGTATGTATATACAAGTGTATATGTGCATATATATGATAAATACATGTATGTGTATGTAAGGTATATACATATATATGTATATGTGTATGTAGATATACATATATATATATATATATATATATATATATATATATATATATATGTATGTATGTATATGTATGTGTATACATACACATACAATCTGATTCCTTCCAAGAGTTCTCAACCTGGGGGCTATAAACAAATATTTTGATAACTGTGTTTCAATGTAATCGGTTTCTTTTGTAATCCTATATATTTTACTTTATATTAAAAACATTATTCTGAGAAGGGTTCCATGAGGTTTTGCCAGACTGCCAAAGGGGTCCATGATACAAAAAAATGTGTAACAGCCTCTGATCTAGTAACTACCACAAACCTGTTGATTGAGTTTAAATATTAATTTAATTGAATTAAATTGAAAATGAAAAGCATGGTCCTGGCTTAGAGTTATGTATTGGGGGTAAAATAATCTAAACCAGTCCTAATTTCTATTATCAACGTAGAAGCAATGTCGAAGCTACTTAGTCACAGGCTGTGAAGGAGTCTTGGTACAATCAACAGGGCCATAAAACCAAGTAGGTACTCAGTTATCTCTCTTCTGTCCTTTGGACCTAGCTCTGCAAGAATGTGGACATGGAGGAGAATGACTTTGTCTCTATTTCAATACCCAAACTATTTATATGTCTGGATAAAACAAAAGATAACAGATGTCTTGGCATCAAACTATACTCAGAGAAGGCTTTTGTGGCAAGGGAATGGTTATAATCACCTAAAAGGGATCATGGGGCAGCTATGTGGTCAAGTGTAGTGAGCCCTGGGCCTGCCTGGAATGAGGAAGATCTGACTTTGAATCTGACCTCAGAGACTTGTTAGCTGTGTGACCCTGGGCAAGTCATTCAACCCTTATTTGCCTTAGCTCTTCATCTGTAAAATGAGGACACATTGAAGAAAGAAATGGCAAACCACTCCAGTATCTTTGCTAAGAAAATCCTCTGCACAAAGGTCTATAGAGTCACATAGAGTTGGACACGAGTGAACAGCAAAGGCATCATAAACTTTCTTTGCACAATAGGCTATCTCTAGCACAGACAGAGAGTGACGGTTACAGGGGAAAGGTTCTATCTCCTCATTCTGCCTGATAATTTCCTGGCCTTGGTTTTGGGAATTGAGGGTATACTGGAGGAAGAAATGAGTTTCAAGGTCACCACACAATGGTGTAAAAACCACGAGGACTGGGGGAGATGGTAGATGCTCCCTGACCTGCTGAATTTGAGGATACTTGATGTCTGCATCTTCCCTGAATCTATGGAAACTTTTCCTAAAGCACTTTGAATGAATGAATCTCCTTTGCTCTTAACACATTCTACTCCGGCATCATACTTACTTGTATCCCTGCCATACCTTCTTCCTTTCCCACCCTATTTAATTGTAGGCTCCCTGAATGCAAGGACTGTGATATTATTCATCTTCACATCTCTAGCACCTAACATGATGCCCTGCACTGAAATGGATTGAATAGCATCTCCCATATGGAAAATTGAATTATCACCAAATTTTTGTAACAGTTTTACACACATACACACACACACACACTATACACATGTACACATATGTGTATATATCCACACATGTATATATTATAGTTGTTCAGTTGTGTTCACCTCTTCAAGACCCCACTGGGGGTTTCTTGGCAAAGATATGGAGCGGTTTGCCATTTCTTCTCCATGGCATTTTACAGATTAGCAACTGAGGCGAACAGGGCTAAGTTACTTGCCCAGGGTTATACAGCTAGTAAGTGCCTGAGGCTAGATTTGAAATCAGGTTTTCCTGACTCCATGCCCAGCACTCTGTCCACTGAACCACTAGCTAGCTGCCCATTTGTGTATATATGTGTATGTATAAAGATACACACAATTTACTTGAGACCACAGGATTTATCTATGCTATTTATAATGCATTTATATGTGCTTTCATACATGATTCAAAGCTTCCATTGAAATAATGTGTCCTCATCTTATGAGGACTAATTATGTAATTTAGAATGATGCAAATACAATTAATTCTTGATTATCTGCACGTGAACCGCACATTGATGATATGGATTATCATCCATATGTAGCAAATTTTTCCCCTCCAGTTAACATCACCCTGAAACCTCGCACATTAAATACAAAGCCTACATTTCTATAGCACTTTTTAAACTTTTCAAATATAAAATCCTTTGATTTTTAAAGCCTTTCAGAGGCTAGCCTCTTCCTATGTTTCCAGTCTTCTTATGCCTTACTCTCCTCTATGGACTCTGAGATGCAGCAACCCTGGCCTCTTTGCTGTTCCTCACACATGACAGTCCATCTCCAGACTCCAAGCATTTTCACTGGCTGTCCCCTATACCTGGGGCATTCTCCCCCCACATCTCTGCCTCCTGGCTTCCCCGCCTTCCTTCAAGCTTCAGATAAGTTTCTGTTATCTGTACAAAAGTCTTTCCCAGTCCTCCAATATCTTGGTGCCTTTCATCTGACACTACCCCAAATTTATTCTGTATCTATCTTGTTTGTGCCCAGTTGTTTTTTGCCTTTCTTTGTATCCCAAGTGTTTGGTGCAGTGCCTAACACATAGTAAGTCCTTTTAAAATCCTAGCTGATTGACTACTCAAAGCACCCTCACACTCATTTCCCCCCACATTGTGATGAATGACTTCCCTGTTACTCTAAGAATCCATTATTTCATTGTTACGGGTGTTCCCTTCACCCTTCAGGCAGATTGCAACACTTCAACAACTCAGTAAATGGTAGCTTAGGGTTGCTATGACTGAACAATTCATCACTGGTACATGATGTATATAGCCCCTGAGAACCCAGGGTCAACTCTGCCCCGTGATGAGGCACCAGAGGGAAACTTTGTGTGGAAGCTGGTTTGTGAACCAGGAATGGGAGCTAATTTTAGATTAAATGAAACATAATGAGGAAAATAAATCTGCTGGGAAAGTTCCCAAGTATTCTTTCCAATGTCTTCTAGACCCTCTAAATAACTTACAAATCATTTTCTCTTTTGGATTGTCTCCATTAACCATTACTCCTTCTCCACCCTAATGACTAAGACAACATATCCTTTCTCTTTTCCACACTACTTGGGCTGTGCATCTCCTTTAATTACTTCTTTTCCTGTGCAAGACTGCTGTTGTTCCTTTAAGCCTGACTTCACATGCATAAAAAAAAAATTCAGAGTAGACACATGGTCTAGTGGGCCCTACATACCACTTAGGATGACCCCCAAACTCTGCAACTGGCTAAAATATAGCTTTCTAGACTTGAAAAGTCCTTACTTAAGATTCGTCTTTAATTAATGTCCAGGCTGAAGGCACTTCAACTTTACCTTGTCTTCATCTCTTATTTTTTCCTTGACTTGAGGGCCCAAATTCTAGATTTGTGCATCTGCTTATTCCAATAAAAAAAAATCCCGTTTTATATAGAAAATTTTTTTAAAACTATAGAAATGAAAAGCACAAAATGACATCAAAACAGTCTGAATTTTTCCACTCCCATTGACCTTAAAAAATTAAGCCAGACAGTATTCCTGCTACAACTAATCTGTTTGTGGTATTGCTTTAAAGGAATAGTGCATCTCTGAAAATAGTGAAAGCTCTTTTTTAATGAGATTCAAACAGAGATGTTATAAAGGAACATGTAAAGAAGAAATGAAGGGACAGAAACAGAAAATTTGGGCTAACCTAAAGATGGGTCCACAACACTTTTGTATGGGATTTTTCCTTTGTGATGAAGAAACTCTTAACACCAAACTGAACCTCTTTAATGGCTAATTAATGACACTGGATATTCCCAAATCGCTTACTGAGAGTTTTATAAAAGATATGTAATTTCCAATATAAAGGGAAACTAAATTCAATATTCTGGTAGATTATCCTCTGGGTTACAGTTAACAAAGTCCCTTTCCATTTCATGCCTTCTACCTCTTGGCCATAACTGAAATAGGGTTTTTCCCTGAAGATGCCACATCACTTATGACCCTCTGCAAGGCTGGCAGCTCCTTTTCTCACACTTTTGAAGTCAGTGGCCTAGGAAGACTTAGCACATACCTTGTTCCCCTTGCACTGTCATTATTATGCAATACTTTTCCCCTTCCTTTAAAGTTAGTACTCTGACTACACCACCCTCCTTCAATCCTTGTCATTGCTAGCTATGGACCTTCAGAGCACTCTTTCACCTTACTCAATGTATTTTAGTACCTGCTTTTCCACCGTAATGCCCTGACTTCCAATTGTGGTCACCTCAGTTTCTACTGATGACCCTTTTACCATCTAGACAATTCATCATGTCTTAATTTCCCATCATTTCCATCTCCATTCTGCCTCAGAGTGGAGTGGTCTACACTTTAGAATTCCCCAGAACTCACTATTTCCTGATACTGTTTCACCTCCAAAATGCCTACCTCTTAAAAATCTGCTTTTTCTCCATAATCTCCTGCCTTCCATGGCTCTCAGTGTTGTTCTCCCTGAACTAATTCTTCACTTTCAACTTTGACCTCTGGCTTAGTTCCTCAATCTCAGGTTGTTTTCTTAGCCCATTATACCTGTTTTGGCTTCACTTCCTTCCCTTCACAGTCTTGACCCTATGGGTAGTCATACTGCTTAACTCTAGAATTCCTTACTGCCTTTTTCTTTTGTTGTCCCTGCTCTGCTCATTTCTATTCTTGAAAAACTTCTACCTTCTGCATATCGATTCCCAAGTTACCAAATACTCTTGTAGTCATGACATTCTTCTGACTCTATTACTATCTAGTCTCAAACTAGGCCCACAGAACTGCATGAAAAACCTTTTAAAAATAGATTCCAATTATAGGAAATCCTAACATTCTTCTCTTCTCAAGTCCCTCAATCCATCTCTGCCTGCCTTTCTCTCTGTATATGACCTTGACTCCTACAATACTGAGAAGATTGAGGTCATTCAACTAGCATCACCTGCCTTCATACCCCCAAACTTTCTGTTTCCTCTTATTCTGTCCAGTCTCAGAAGGTGAGAAGCCTTCCTCCTACTTCTTTATTCATGCCCCTCCTCCTATTTCCTCCTATCTCCTCTGCAATCACATTTCATTTATCATTTCCCTCATATATAGAACAGACTATGTCAATTTGATGGGTGTGGGGCCCAAGCCAAGATCTTCGCCCTTTGCTGCAAAGGGAATCTGACTCACAGGCCCCAGACCCTCATCTCCCTTTGAAAGCCTTAGCCTTACCTTTTAATCTTATTCAGATGTGCCCTAAAAGAATCTGGCTCCCTTTTGTCTATAGGCCCTAGAAAGGCCTTCTCTGGTCTCAAACTGTTCCTTATCGACTCCCCTTATCTCCTTTTGAAAGTCCTAGCCCCACCTTGATTTTGTGCAGATGCCTTTCAAACTTCTTCCTTCCTGTTCCCTCCATTATCTATTCCCATTGTCTATTCAATCTCTCTGACCTCCCCAATTAGAATTCACACCTAGACCCTTTTCTCAACCCCCTTCTCGAGGACCACCCAAAGTTACTTTAGTATTTAAGATCCACCTTGGCCCTCATTCAGATGCTGAGAATCTCAGGCCCACAAGGCTGAGAACCTCTCATGCCCCAAAGGCTGAGCCTTTCTCATGCCCGCCTGTCCTTACTGGCCTCACCTGGCCTCTGTGATCTATCACTAATAAATTTTTCCTCTGGCTGAAGAAGATTTGAGTTGAATTCATTCAGCAGGGCCTGGTACCACGATCTTGGGGTCCCAGCACCCCAAAGCCCCTAGACCTCTTCAAATTCACTGCTCAAAAACCACCAATTGCTCCCCTGTGCCTACCAGAAAATAGAGTACAAACTTATTATTTTAACATTCAGAGCTCTTCACAATCTGGCTCCAAGATGATTTTCAAGCTTCATTTCACACTACTACCCTCTGAACAATTTTCATTCTAGTCAAATAGGATTAGTAGTCAATCTTTGATTTCATCTTGCCCTGTTGAAGCTCCATGCATTTACATATACTGTTCTTTATACCCATAACAGGCTCCTGAACATCTTCACCCTGAGAAATCCTCTTCCTCATTTAAATTCAACTGCAATGCCACTTTCTCCCATTACCCCCAAGCTAGAATTCTTCTCTTTTCAATCTCTCCTTGCTCTCTGTTATCCTATTCTGTACTTCTCACTTTCTAACATGCATATCTGTTATTCAATATAAATATCTGTATATGTTCTAACATGTATTTATATATAAAAATAGCTGATTGTATTCTTATCCTAACCATATGCTATATCCATGCTCCTTAAAAGCTGGGCTTCTGTTGCTATTGCTGTTTTTTTTTTTTTAATCTAACCATACCTAGCACTTTGGACACAGAAGATATTTAATATTTTTTGTTGAACTAAATGGATTGAGTTGATGATAAAATCCTTTGATAGTTCCCAGCTTTCCAGACTTTCAAAGGCTGTTATTTAAATAAATCATTCCTTTGTGGAAATAGTCTTTTAAAATTGGTAAAAGATTTTCTTGTATTTGCTGAGTGGCAATTCCCAAATTGCCACCCTCCTAACAGCAGGCTCTGTGATGGTCTTTGCTTCAAAGATGGAATTACTACATTTGCATGCCTTGACACTTACTTTTAGCAATACACATAAAGGTCCAAAAATGACAGACAAATGTCAGGTGTTTAATGAATGAGTCATCTTCCTACAAGCATCAGCTTGTCATCACTTTTCCCCCAAGGATGGTATCAGTAGTTAGGATGAATGAAATGGAAAGAAGAAACAGAAAGTGACAGAACTAAAAGGTAGCTGCCTCAATCACAAGACAAGATTAAAAAAAGGAAAAAATAATCCACCTTGGAAACACAGGGCACTATCATTGTCCTGATGGTTGTTGTTAGTTGTATCCATGTCTTGAAAAGAGGCACTAGGAGGTAATCGTCCACAATCATTCTGGTAGGGTAGATAATGGGCAGCACCATCTTGAGGCAGGGGAGGAAAAGGCTGATGCATGGGGCTCTTTCTCAGGGCCTTAAGTGATGAATTCCTTTCAGGAATGTCTGGAAGCAGCTCATTGATAAGTCTGTGTAATATGCTGTTGTCAGGCAAACTTCCCCTTCTCTTTTCAGCTTTAATTTGATCACATATATCCTTAAGGGCAGAGTCCAGAGCATCAAACACAGATGATTTGGATTTTGTCTTTTCAGTCTGTTTTTTGGGAGCAGCACTTTTTTTCCTCCGGAAAGGCACCGGGCTTACTAGGAAGGCTAACTTAGAAAGGCCAGAGTCTATTTCCCGTCGCCTAGAGTCTTCAGCATTCTCCTGCTTAGCCCTTTCATGTTTCAACATGGTGGTAAATCGTGTGTAAGAGGCAGGGCATCTTCCCTTGCAGGAACTGATGAGGTGCCGGTGGTGGTGGTGATGGTGGTGGTGGTGATGATGGTGATGGTTGGAGCCATAGAAACTCTCCGAGGATGTAAAGGAGAAATGATCAAAGTCACTCTCACTGCAGAAGGATGAGCCTTCTACATGAACAAAGTCACTGACGTCAGAGACCATTCCATCTTGGTCACTGTCTGAGAAGTCCATATGAGATCGTGGTGGTTCATCACTGGTCACTTCAATGTGAATTGGCACCAGGGTTTTAGGCTTATAGCTTCGTGCATTAACCTGATTGACATGTCTCCCTTGGTTCTCTTCCTCCAATAAAGACTCAATAGAAAATCGTCGCTTTGGACACAATCCATTCTGAGGCAGTTCTAAGGTGACAGCAGACAGCATTTCATCCCCCAGATTCGGCATGGACTTTGACTTTTGAATTAGCTTCTCAAATTCAGAAATGCGTGTGGGCACCATGTCCCTGGGCACCTCCTCGGTTGAGGACTGGCTCCACCCACGCAGCATACCCTTGTGTTGTTCCTTTTCATACTGTAATATCCTGGACTTCACAGAACAAATCACCTCTGACTTCATCAACTCTTTGCGGTTAATGCGATGCATTTTCTTGTACATTTTCAAGAACCCAGGGGCATTATGTGCTGACTTATGCCAGATTCTCGACCTGCCATTTGTGCGGTTTTCAGGGATGTAGGGGGAGACCCATGTCAGTGGGCAGCTGTCTTTGGAGTCCTCCTCACATAACAGAGAGCCCAGACTTTCTGACTTTGTCTGCGGGTCAGGGAAACTATCATGGTCCTCATTTAGAAGATCGTCACAGCTACGGGATTTCAGTTTAGGTGAAACGGTTTCTTCTGTGCTGCTCCAGATCTCGGCATTCTGCCGTGTCATCTGCCAACCATTCTTGAAGTTGATGGTGCGCTTTGAATCATTTGGCACATCCAAATGCTGCCTGTATGGACTGCAGTAATCTAACTCACTTGAGGTGTGGTGGCTGTGCCCTGAATAATTGTAAAGGGATGGACATGCTTTGCTAATATCCCCACCTTATAATCCAAAGAGCAGCCCAGCAGAAGAGAAAGATTTCCAGCAGTTAACAGGTTCACAAAGAGAAAAGATTGGGTCAGTAAGTATCAGAAAGCAAAGAACAGAGCAAGCAGTTAGTGTAGTTAAACCTAGAAACAGTACACAGAGAGCTTAGGTGCTAATTAGAACAAACTAAAGAACTGTTAAAAATTAATTAGCTAATTCTATTAGAATGTATTCAATAAAATTAACAAAACAGTAAAAAAAGAATCAATGACTAATAAATCTATTCCATCTATAGCAATGAAAAGTTAAAGCAGTATGCCTTTTTTCCTAAGTGCATTACGTGAAAAACGTCAGTGTCTATTAAACTGAGAGCAGGGCATGGCAATTGTATGAAAGACTGATAGTCTGTATAAAAGATTGAAGGTCTGTAAACTTGAATTCATACCAACAGATTGAGCTGTTATGATTAACTGGCATTAACCATTATTATTAACCATTTTTAACATAAAGCCAAATGTTAGAACGTTCACATTCAAAAACAGTAGCATGCACTTAATAGGCTTAAGAAGATATGATATTGAATCTAGCTCATAATTGCAGGTAAGGTGAGTTAAATATTACTTAAAATTCAACTCAAAGAATTTGGAATTGGTCCTTTATGTTCAATCACATCGATGAAGGACAAGATAGAGCAACAAATTATATAAGACAATCTGTCTAAGTAGTTTCCCAGTAACTGCAAAACAAATACAGCAGGACTTGGGTTTGAATCTCAGTTTTGCAACTTAACTACTTATGTGACTGCACAAATTATACAACTGTTCTGAGCCTCAGTTTCTTCATCTGTAAGATAGAGAATAGGACTAGACAGCTTTCAAGGTCTGTTTCAGCTGTAGAGTTATGATCCTCAGGTTTCTGGCTGGGGATTCTCATTTTTCTTAGGAGGACCATGCCTAGGAGTTACTTAGACTACTATCACAATGCCTTAATATCATCCTCTGACTGAAAAAACACCAGGGGTTGATATTTTAATGCATAGCATAATCCATCTTTGTTTTTCTTACAGCATTTTGGCTTATTCAGGGCTTATTTAATCAGTCATATTCCTTTACAAGTTTGAAAAACCTCTACCTTTCTGATTTAGCCCTGGGGAAATAGACTAAGTCTCCATGACGTCAACCTCTGCATTGCTCCCCAGTGCCCAAGTCCCATCTCAGCAGTAAATTGGGTATTTAGGGAGGTCTTTTCACTGCTCTATTTCCCAGGGGATTCAATGGTCTCCAGATGACTCAAAAGAATGAATGTATCTCCCTGGATGCAAAGTGTACTAAGATTATGGGGAGAGAGTTGGGCACCAGAGAAATGTGGCGCAGTGATTTGTGAACACCAAGACTGAATTTTGAAACTGAGCATTTTTTAAAGCAAGATATTTATCAAAAAATTGATGCCATCTTTAAAAACATGCCACTGTGTATTTGCAATGAGTAGATCAACTTCAAGGATTGCAATGAACTGTTTTAAAACCTTCTAGTAGGTTGTCCCAGATTTTATAATTATCAAACATTTGAAAATTTAAGAGGATTTTTGCCTGGTAGTATTTTTTAGGGGGGCTTCTGCTCTTATTTCCCATCTATACACAGGGATAATTTTAGAAATTGTAGGAATCTTCAAAAGTGTTTCCCCAAAATGGGAATACTTCAACATGATTTTATTAACAGACCATTAATAAATCACACAGTACTTTGAATTTGAGTTTATTCATGAAATATATATGATAGTCTTAAAATCAAATGTTTAATAGACATTACGCAGACAGGAAAATCCCTTTCAATAATTGATGTTTCATCAGCAGGAAATAACCTAGATAAGAAGCATCTTATTTTAAAACTTAACACAAGACATTTTATTCTCAAGACTGTATTTGATTAGCTACAGAGACAAAAGCCATCACTACCTTGGTACTTGTTTTCACCAAGAACTATGCAGTGAAATCAGCAGTTGTCAAAGAACTGTGGTCTTACCTTTTGCTCTTGATGGGGAAGAAGGAGAAGAGCCAGTGAAAGATTTTGTAAGGGTCGTGCTTGGACCTGGGAGATCTGCTTGGGTTGGGCTGGCTCTGTTTGCATTCTGATCACCCACACTTCGGGGATGTCCCACTGCAGGCTCACTCTTCCTCCTTTTTCTGTAGTCACCAGCTATACTTGCAGAGCTAAGTGAAAGAAGAAAAAAAAAGGTGGGAGGAGGAACCATACCTATTTCAAAATGAGCACTTTTTGAAAACTTGATGCTAATATGTTGGTCTTACATATAGGTCAAATAGGTAGTTACCTAGAGGAAGAAGCACTAATCCCATATCCAAGTTTAAAATCATAACTCTTAAGCAATTTATTCATTTTTGTTAAACATTTCCCTCTCTCTGTGATCCTATTTTAAAATGGAAAGACTCAGTTTTACTTAGTAGTGCATTAAATCAAATACCTTGATGTGAATGATTTATCAAAATATGTCCTTCCTTGACTGGAAAGACCCCTCATCCTGACCTGGGAGAATAGGGAAGAGCAGAGGGAAAATAGGGGAAAAAAAGCAAAAAGGATGACCAATTTCACCTATACCATGATTTTATTCAGGGAAGTCAAAATATTAATTCTACCTTTTGAAGGAACTAAACTTAGTCCTAAGGACCAAGGCTACATTACTACAATCCCAAAATATCCGTGTGAAGACCTAAATGGCCAAGAATTTATCCAGCAGGGCATTGCAGTGGAAATGATGCTGAATTTAAAGAAAGAAGAGCTGAATTCAAATGTCAGTTCTCCTATTTACTACCTGTGAGACCTTGGGCAAGTCTCTTAATATCATTGGGTCTCTGTTTCTTTATCTTTAAAATGAAGAGGTTGGATCAGTGGACACCTACTATAATGATGGTGGTGATGACTCATTGTGACTATCTGGGACTCATTTTTACCAATTTTAAAGCGACTACTTTCCATAGTATGAACAGACTATTAAGTATTATATATTTATATGGGGCAGATGTTTCAAAATAAGTGACAGAAGATTTTTATTGAAAAAGTTCCTCCCAGCAATGCAGATCTGGGTCTTGATTCTTCTGAGTAAAGAAGGTTAGGAAGCAGGCCCTCATTTGTTTCCAGGAGATGCACTGTCACTCCAGCTAAGTGCAGAATCTTGCCATAAGTTCAAGTGATTCAAATTCAAATGTGACCAAGATGGGGGGGAGTTACTTTCTAAGTGCTCAAGAAAGAAATAAAAACTATGTTGAATGTGTCACTGCAAAGGCAATTACTTCTTACCTAGTGGGCCTTTCCAGGCTTCTGTCTAAGGAGGTCTGATACAAAGAGGCCTGTAAAAACAGAATAATGATTCTATTAATGAAAAAAATATATGTTCACTTGCCTGAGTTCGTGAAATAAATTTTACTGAAAGGAAATGATCAAAATCATGGAACAAAGAAAAGAAAGCATTCACCTTAATTAAAAAATGCACCTTCCTAAAGGGAAGTTATATGTTTAAAAATAAAGGCTTATACTATTTTATCAGCATATATTTTCCCTTTTAAAGTCTTGTGTTTGTAATACACAGTATAACCCAATAATCCACAATGTAGTTGCTATTTGAAAAATGGAAATCTGACAACATTTGAAAAGCAATCGCTCATTTAGTCAAGAATATTACTCTAATTTATTAACAAAATCCTGTCTATTCACTGAATAAAGGGGGAGAGATGGTGAGAAATCATTCAGACATTTGCAGTCATTGTTCAGTTCTTGCAGAAGAAGGCCCTTTGGGGGGGGGAGTTCTAAAGATTGTTTTTCTTTGGAATATCAAAAAGGCAGGATGCAGGCAACAATAAAACACGTTTAACTTTTCAACATGCACATCAGAACAGAACCATAATTTCTTAGGTATTTTACACAATCATGAAGTTGGAATGGATCTCAGATGACATGTAGTCCAACTAGTAGCAGAAAAAAAAATCCCTACTATAACTTACCTGATAAATGACCATCCATTTACTCTCTGAAGACCTCCAAAAAAGGGAAACCCTTTCAGAGCATTTCCTTCCATTTTAGCGCAGCTCTAGTTGTTAAGAAGTTTTCCCTGATGTTGGGCCTAAATTGACCACTTTGCAACTACCAACCATTGATCCCAGTCTGCCTCTGGGGCTGAAGAGAACATATCTAATCTTATTTTATTTGGCATCCTTTCAAATACTTAAATATTGCTCTCATGTTCACCCTTGAGGTTTCTCTTCTCCAAAGGTTAAATCACCGTAGCTCCTCCAACCAATTGTCATATGGCATATACTCAAGGCCCTTCACCATGCTAGCTGCCTCCCTCTGAATGCTCTCTGGTTTATCAATGTCCTCCCTGAATTGTAGCCCTCAGAACTGTATACAATACCACCGGTATGGTCTAACCAGGGCAGAGAACAGAGTGACAATCACCAACCAAGATGGCGTTAGCATTTTTGGTGGTCACTTCATACATTCCCCCATCTCCCACCTTCCCAAAACAACAGAAAATTCCATTTTCCCAGATATGGGAGATAGAAGTAATAATTCAAATCGATACAGAATTTGTAATCCTTATTTTAGACATGAGTTCCATAGTTAACGTTGAGACCCCAACTAAGATAGAGCAAAACAGAATTATTTGAATTCTGTCTTTTAATTTTTTCACTTGTCCACTTTCTAATGTAGTAATTGATTATCAGTAAAATTTCCAAAAGGTGAGCAGAAAGATAGACTGGATAATATATTCCTAGGCAATCATGTGAACTATAATATTTTAAAAGTTATTGTTGTTCAGTTGTTTCAGTCATGTCCAACTCTTTATAACCCTATTTGGTTGGGGTTTTTTGTTTTGTTTTGTTTTTTGCAAAAATACTGGAGGGGTTTGCCAGTTCCTTCTCCAGCTCATTTTACAGAGAAGGAAACTGAGGCCAGCAGGATTAAGTGATTAACCAGGGTCACACAGCTAGTGAATGTCTGAGGCCAGATTTGAACTCAGGAAAATGAGTCTTCCTGACTCCAAATCTGGCACTCTATGCACTGTGCCACCTAGTTGCCCCTCAAAAATTATACTATATATTACACAAAAAATACATTTAAGTTTGGAATCAATAAAAATCTTAGCCTTTTTACTCTTTGTACATCATGTTCTCAATTATAGATAAGTAGTTTATTGTACCTTGAAAAGCATTTTTCTTATCACTTAAAATTACCCATGTTAAATTAATGTCATGGAATATTAAGAGTTCAAAGTGTCTTTAGAGATCAGCCATTTTATAGATGAGGAAGCTGAGATCCAGAGAAGTCAAGAGTTAAGTTAATGAGGTATCAGTTCTAGAACTAAAACTTGGGTCTTCTGAGTCCCAGCCAGTGTTCTTTCTACTGTATCACACTAATACATTTTATCATATCAATACTTTCAGCAGAAAATAATTGAACTGTGTTTCTATCAAAAATGTTAGATTTTTTACTGATCCCAGATTTTTAATTTTAGTTTGTAAATTGTTGAAATTTAACACCATGTTTTTGCTTAGATCACCACATTCAAGTATAAAATTGGATTCCTTCATGAATATCATGAGAAATCCCACTTATACAGGAATAAAGATTTGCCTGTTTAAGTTATTTGAATGTCATATAACTGTACAAGAAGTGAATCTTGATAAACCACAAATCCAGATGACTGAAGATAAATCAAGCTACTCAAGTCTGGCCAGAGAGGTGACAGGCCGAAAATCTAGAATGATGCATACGTTTTGGGGCATGGCCAATGCAGGGATTTGTGTGGCTAGACTATGCGTGTTTGTTATAAGGGATTTTATTTTATTGTACAATTGGGGAGATAGAGGTGATTAATTCTTGTAAAGATAAATACATAAAATGTTTAAAATATTAGCCAAATTTGAAAAAAGAAATGAATCTTGACAGAAGACAAACAAAAGAAGTTGTTAAAGAACACCTTTTCACTACTTTGCAATGGGAAAAAGAGAGCATTTCCTTTTTCCCAAGAGGAAAGTATTCTCAGAGAATTTTGGTCCACAGTTTAATAAGTTTAAATAATCTTCTAAATTGAATAAACTTTTTCTGTTACCTTGAAAGAGTAGAAAACTAGTCATGTAAATATGGAAAATCAATAAATACAAGTCATTTAATATCAGACCTACTTTACAAAACACAAGGTCAACTGATTTGGAAGGGTCCTTGGAGGAAATATTGCTGAACTCCTTCCTTTTAGAGATGAAGAAACTTAGGTTGAGAGCAGCTGAATCATGATTATACAGGCAGTAACAGTAGAGCGAGGATTCAAACTCAGATCTTCTTACCTCAAACCAGTCTTGTTTTCATCTTACCAAGATGTTAGACAGAAGGCTTGCTAATAATAAGAAAGAATGCACAGAGTTTCTGGTGTGGGATCACTCTACCAGCTGCCGATGTAGATCTGAAGACAACCTCCTTAGGTAGTTGCATGAATCATGGAGATGTTGAGTTACTTGCCTCGAGTCCCTCAGCTAGCAAGCACCAGAAGTTGGATTTAAACCTAGGTCTTCTTGATCCTAAAACTAGCCTGTCTATCCAATAGGACATGTTGCCTCGTGAATGCCAAACATAACCTGATACGTATTCTAGCTGTCAGAATAATACTTAATGTTATAAGTTATCATCTTGACTCACCCAACCCCAAACCTTGACTGACAAAGAAAAGCTTTACTTTCAGACCATTCTTGAAACACCTGAAGTGATCTGTGATTTCTGAATGGTCAAGTCAGACCTATCAGCCTTGAGAAGAAGAACTTCCTCCTAAGGCTAGTAGAGCACAGGCAGCATTCTTAATTTTTTTCTAAGGACACAATGTCTCATGGAAGGAAGCTGCATCTCATTGCTGCCCATGAGGCAATCCTGTGCAAAACCGCTAATGAATTGGCCAGAATTAAGCTGCCACTTCTCCAAAAGCAAACTGAATTGAGTTCATCAAGACCAGAAATGCTGTGAACAATAGTTATTGCATGGAAATGGTAGGGTTTTCATCATACCCTGCCAATGAATTCCTCAAGTACATTTATTTAATGGAAGTCACCTAGAGAGTTAGGTTAGGAGGAAGGGAAGGATGAAGGGGGGAAGGTAGGAAGGAAGGCAGGGAGGAAGGAGTGGGGAAAGGAAGGATAAGAGGGAGGAAGGAAATAAGCATTTATATAGTACCCATTATATGCTAGGCATTGTGATAAGAAATATTATCTCATCAATTCCTCAAAACAACCTTGAGAGGTAGTTGCTAACATTATCCCCATTTTATAGTTGAGGAAACTGAGGGAGCCATGGGTTACATGACTTGTCCAGGATCATGCAGCCAGTGTCTGAGGCCAGATATGAACTGACGTCTTTCTGACCCCCAGGCACAGTGCTCTATCCACTGCCCCAAATAGCTTTCTTTCAAGTTAAAAGAATTCAAGAATGTTAAACTAGAAATTAACTTGAAGATAAAACATGGATACCAGATTGGAGTCATGGGGATGGGATGGATAGCTTATTGATTTTATTCTGAGATTTTACATCATACTCTCTTGACATCTAGTACATAGAGACTATCATTCTGATAAATCTTCAAAACTTTGGATACCCTCCTTTTCTTTCCCTATAAATAACTTTCTTAGAAGGTCTCTATTCTTTTCCTTTGGACCTAGAATCTAGAGATACATAATAAGTATATTAATTTATCAATAATTGGTATGGCATCATATTCCATGACCAGTTACAATCTTTACCATATATTTTTTGGACTTCTATATTTTATTAGAGAATTTTTTTCTTAAATTACTGATGGAATCAAATAATTTCTCAAGAAAGACAGTACAGAATACTGGCTGGGGGGAATGGTGGCTTTGGATTCAGGAACACAGTTTCCGATTCTGTTGGGCAGCTGTGTATCATGTACAAGCCACTTCACCATAAGCTATAAATAAGCTGCTGACCTGCATCATTAGAAGTTTCTACATCAGACATTTCCCTATACCAATGGAATCAGAGTTCTGATCAAGAGAAAAAAGTACCAAAAAAAATACCGGAGTACCAAAAATACCAAAATAACAAAAATTTTCTTGAAGAAGAAAGGGGAGATAATTTTGCCTTTATCAGAGTCCCTGAAAATATCTTCTTTTCAGGTTACCATCGCTAGGACAGAAATATGCACATGTACAGGCCCATGTGTAATTAACAGTTAGATTTTTATTATTCTTAAGTCCAACAACTGTGACCCTTGGTGGTGCTTATAGACACAGAAATCAGATCATTACTAACTGTCTTTGATTCTCACAGAATATAGGATCTTTCTTTCCATTGGAAAAAAATTTGAAAAGTGTATTGGGTATAAATGATCTGAATTATAAGTGCATCCTTTGTAACCATACCCACTTTCTGAATCATTTAGTGAGGAATAAAATTATGTACATATTGGTCAGTCTAGGGGCTGCAGTCTTCATTAGTGGCAGAGGGTCTAATGGTTGAAGGGACCTCATGGGTCATCCACACTAATCAGTATCTGCCAATGGCCTTAAAAATAAAACAAAACACATTTTTAAAAACTTGGCTGTTCTTGTTGCCTCTACTTCTTCACCTGACTCCCTTCAAATCTTCTGCAGTCTGCCTTCTGATCTCATTATTCAACTTAAAACTGCTCTCTCCAAAGTTATCAATGCTCTTTTTTGAAACTGACAAATCCAATCATTTTTTTTTCTTGATCCTCATCCTTCTTGACTTCTCTACTTCATAACACTGTTGACTATCCTGGGTTTTCATGATACTACCCTCTCCTGGTTTTCCTCCTACATATTTGATAGCTTCTTCTCAATCTCTTTTGATGGCTTGTCAACTACATTACATTCCCTAATTGTGGGTGTCCCTCTAAGGCTTTGTCCTGTGCCCCATTCTCTTCTTTCTTAGTATATTCTCCCTTTGTGCCTCATCAACTCCAATGGGTTTAAAATTTTTCTCATTGTGTAAATTACTCACAGATTTATTTATCTAGCCTTAGTCACCCTCCTCAGCTTCCATCCTACATCACCAGCTGCCGCCTGGGCAATAAAAACTAGATGTCTGGCAGGCATCTCAAATGTATCATGTTTAAACCAGAATTCATTATCTTTCCCCAGAAAATCCATTTTTTTTTCCTACTAGACTTCCCACTTTCTTTAGAAAACACCACCATTCTTCTGGTTTTCCAGGTTCACAACTTAGGTACTGTTCTCCACTCCTCACTTTTCCTCCCCCCACATCTCTAATTAGTTGTTAAATCTTTCTGTTTCTAGCTCAATGGCTTTTTCCATATTTGATCCTTTCTCTTCACTCACATAGCCGCCATCTTAGTTCAGCTCCCCATCACCTCTTACGTGGACGACTGCAGTAGCCTCCTAATTGATTTCCCTGCGTCAAGTCCCTCCCCTTTTCCAATCTACGCTTGAAGCAGCTACCAAAGTAATTTTCTTTCAGTGCAATCCTCTACTCAATAAACTCCACTGGCTCCCTATTGCTACTTGGATAACATATGAATTTTTCACTTTGCCTTTCTTTGCAATCTCATTTCCCAGCTCTCTCTTTCCAAATTCACTATATATTCCCCTATCTACATTCTATGGCCCAGCTAAACTTTTCTTCTTTCTGTTCTTCATACAAGGCTCTCCATTTTTTCTACTCTGTGTTTTGGTCATTTCCCATGCCTAGAATTCAATCCCCTGCCTCACTTCCACTCCAGCAAGGCTTAGCTCAAGCATCACCTTCTACATGAAGCCTTTCTTAATCCTCCCAAATTATAGCGCCCTACTCTCTCTCTAACTACCCTTTTATTTATTTTGATTTATTCTGCATATGTACATTTTGCTTTTCCCACTAGAATGTATCTTTGAATAAAGATTATTTCATTTTTTTTTGTATTTGTACTCCCAGTTGCTAGCACACTGAATGGTACATAGCATATTCTCAACAAAAGCTTACTGATTAATCAATGATTTAATCATGGAAATCTGACTCTAAGAAACAGTGTCATAATAACTTAAGCTGGATCCTTGAAGGGCATTTAAATGCCCCGTAACTGATTTTTTCTGGATTTCTTTTTATCATGCTGTTTTATGGATCCATTGTAATGATTGAGTTGATGGAATATTATAAATTGAAAGATACTTTTCATGATTTTGTCATTTTTGTAAAAAAAAATCCAAACCTTAATTATTACAAACTCTAGGATTTGGAAGGACCCTTAAAGACAAACTAATCCAAACTACATGTGAACAGGAATCCCTACCATAATATCTTTTGTAAACTGTCCAGCTTACACCTGAAAAACTCCAGTGAGAGGGAATTTACTCATTCCATCTCACCTGGGGACAAATTTTTATTGTTAGAAAGTTTCCTATTCCATTGAGCCTAAATTTGCCTGTCTGCGACTTGCTCCAGTTTCTGTGTTATGGGCCCAAGTAGAGAATGTCTAATCCCTCTTCCAAACAACAGCAGTTCATGTTATTTTTCCCTCCAATTTAAAAATGTTGGAAGAAACAAAATTAATTTTTAAATTTCATTTTTTCCAAGGAACAAAAATCTGTATTCTCTCCATCCCATTTCCCCCTCCTACTGAAAAATAAAATCCCTTTACATTCTTAAAAACAGCTATTCTCATCCCCCACCCCCCAAGTATTCTCTTCTGTGTGCAAAGGCTTACTAGTTCCTTCTACCTATCCTTCTGTGATGTAGTCTCCAGTCTCCTTACTATACCGGTTGCCATCTTGTTTATGCACTAAAGTTTATCAGTGTCCTTCCTAAAAACAGTGCCCAAGACTGAACAGAATACTCCAGGTATCATCTGACTAGGGACAAATACAACAAGACTTTAACATCCTTTGAACTGAATACTATGAACTTTAATAGGATGACATTTTTTTGGTTGTCATGAATCCAGAGTATTGATGAGCCTTTCTGTCTACCAAACCCCTTTGGGTCTATTGTCCCCCTCCCCAACATAATTAATTCTCTTGAAAATAATATTGCAGGGCATAAAGCAGTGACAAAAAGCTAGCCATAGAGAAATGATAGGAAATCACTAAATAATGGATTGTGAAATAGGGATGTGCAGAATCACAGCAGTATTCTGTATGATCATAATCTGAAGAAGAAAGAATGATTCATTTACCTCTTTGGAAACACCAGGAGGATGGTCCTGACCATAATCCAGAGCCTTTTTAGGAGGCTGGGGGTGGATGCACGACATAAGCAGAAGTGTAGAGATGGAATGGAGGAGAATCAATGGCAGCAAGGAATGAACATGGGGAAAAGGTGACATAGTTAGAAATCGTGTGGACAGCATCAGATACATACAAAGAGTGATATGAATGTAGCCAAATGGGGGTAGGCTGAAAGGAAGAGTAAGATTCTGGTAAACATTTTCAAGAACATGACAAAAATGTTAGTGATTTGCTTAGTAAAAAACAGTTCACTCAACTCATCAGATCAATGTTAGCATTTCAAATACTTGCCAAGAGAGGAATTCAAAGCATATTTAAGAAATATGTATTAGAGGAAAAGGCGTGCATTACATGCTGGTGAGTTTCTACTTAGGATAGAAAATTATCATACAAAAATGCTGAGAGATCTTAGTCTCAGGATAGACATCTGCCTAATTTTATCAATTGCCTAATTAATGACAATCAAATGTAATACAAAACAAGGAGAGAAATTTTTTTTCTCTCCAATTAATTTGATGCCAATATGACTGGAAAAAAAACACCAAAAATTAAAATTTTCATAGAAATATATGAAGAAACAACATTCATTGATAATCAATTTTGATCCAGTTGTATAAAAAAGTCTTTGGTTTAATGGGCAAAACACACTATAATGTCTACTCAGAATCTGTCTAGCACACAGATTTTTACTCTGTTGTGCCTAATATATAGAACTGCTATGTATGTCAGTATTGTTCTTTTAAAATGTATCTGAGGGTACACATGGAAAGTCTATTTGACACATTTCATAGAATGTCTCTTCATTAGGCAAAAGTATTCTCTGAGTAAAGCTGGAGTCAGTTCTAGAGTTATGATCAGGCAAGCCCTGATGACACTGGATGACCATAACAACTTACATTACCACCTTAAGATATACAAAGTTCTTTTCTCACCACAACTCTGACATTGATGTTCAGAGAGTTATTATTTTCCCCTTCTCACAGCCAAGATGACATTTCTAGAGCTAGTTTTTAAATGAACTTTCTAACTTTCAAATAATTGATTTCCCCCCCTATAGCATGGGACCTCTAAGGTCTTCTTCTAGGAGTGAAACTCCTGAGCTGATGATTACAATCATATGTGAAGTATTTGCAATCATTTAGAGAATTCATTTATTTCCACAACCACTCTGAGGGGTGGGTGAGTGCTTTGCTCACTTTACAGATGAGGAAATTGAGGCTAAGGTTAAGAAACCTGCCCAGCATTGTAGTTTAGTAAGTTTCAGAGGCAGGATTCAAACTGGCATCTTTCTGACTCCAAGTTTCATGCTCTATCTGCTTAACAAGCTCAATCCTAAGATACCCCATATAATATCATTAAGATGAGAGGAAAACTAATGATAATACACTATGCTCTCTTTTCTCTCTCTTTACAATTGCTGAAAATGTGTAAATTGGGAAGATTATCTCACAGATCACTAGGCAAATGCCTTTTTTTTTTTTGGTGAGGCAGTTGGGGTTAAGTGACTTGCCTAGAGTCACACAGCTAGTATGATCTAGGCAAATGCTTTCTACAGGTAGTCTAGCTCTGAATGTAATGAGAAATACCTATATATTTTCTTTTTATACAAGTGGATCAAAATGGCATATAAATAACAAAATAAAATGCTTAATGGAGAGAAGTAATCAAAATGTTCTGGTTTTAAATCTAAATATATTTCAGTTATTTGCAAGAAATTAAGAATAATTTGGCAGTTAAGCCAAATTATCCAGGGAATAATTACTTTCCACATAGGAACAAAACCCAAGTTGTCTTTGTGGGATGGAAAAAAAAGGGTCTGTAATTGGCATCGACCCAATTCTTTATTGGCACTTTTGTATTTGTCATTCACAAGGATGTTTTCCTAATGTTCATATGTTAATCTGCTAGCCTCACTTACCGGGCGTCCAAACTCCAGTTCTGAAAAGAATTTATACCAGGGTTCATTTTCTAAATCTATGTCATCTGGATTTATGCGATCAGTCTGGAGCGGATATGAAGGAAAAGGGAAGGAAAAGGCAAACTGAGCCAAGTGAAGGAAATGCTGTGTGACACCAAAAACATCCATACAGGCACACACCACAAGTCACAATGAGGGGAGGTAGCAGGGAAGGAATAAAGGAAAACAAGGTATAGTGATGGGGTTGGATGGGACCTCCTGTCCAAGGGTCCCCACAGGATTTTTCCCCTTTTCATCATTTCTAGCTTTTTCCTGAGTATGCAGTATTAATATTTTTCCCTGAATATTTTAGACATATTTTAATATAATAGAATAGTTGTAAACTGACGCCATAGGAATGGTCTCTATGGATTTCATTCATTTCTTAGCCTAATCATAGTTCCTCAATGTATATGGAGAATGGAAGAATGGGTCCAGATGTCTTTGAGCAGATTTCACGCCAAGACATCTAGATTTAGTGTACCATCAGGGAAAGGACCCAGAATAGGGGTCAGGGTCAGGGGTTGGGAGTGAAGGAAGCAATAGAATTCTACTTAAATCTGTTACTTAGAAGACACCTGAGATTTCTCTCTTTTCCACCCTAGGACTATATAATCCTGAGAATATGAACAAAATTCCAGGACTAGGTGGAAGCCAAATCTCAAGTGGCTTCTTTATTCTGCTATGCCATCTGTCTCTCCTTAATTAGAATGCAGCGATAAAGAGGAAAAAAAATATGATCTCTATCACTATGATTCCCTTTCCAAAAGACTCTTTGGTACTTCTCTCTTTGTGTTTGGCTAACAAGGTCTAATTTTCATGAAAAGGTGACACAATAGTAAGACGCAGCATGAGATTTTGACCTAAGTGGTATATAGATAACTGTTAGGATCCAAATATCAAGAAAACAGCAATCTGAAGTCTTATAGTAATCTTTTATTTTTTGAGAAGGTTAGGACTCTGTAGCTACCCCAGCTCAACAATTCATAATATTCCCATTAACAACCTAAATCCTTGGTGCATATTGAGCAATTACTGTGATGAGAGCAGATAGAGTTTGCGCAGCTCTAAGGGTTGTGTGAGAGATGGTTTACGCCTTCTCTCTTGGGCCTGTGTAGGAAGGAGCCAAAGTGGATAATAAGAAATGGCACAAGATTTGAGCACGGGGTTTGCTCTCCACATACTGTCTTCTTTCAGAAGAAAGAAATTCATTCTCTTACCACCTAGAAACACAAAGCAATATTACAAGAAATGCATTACTTATTCATAGTTAAAATTAAAGTATATGTTGTAAAATTTTTGCTGAAATAATTATTTTTGTGTATATACATAATCTGTCTATCTGTTTATATTCTGAAATATATTTGTATTTGAAATTCTCTTCTAGTTAGTGGAAAGAACACTGTCCAGGAATCAGGGAACCTAAATTTTAGTCCCAGGTTTTCCCTTTTTTGATCTTTACTTTTCTTGATCTAAATTTCCTCCTTGGTATAGTGAGCACAATGGGCTGGATAACCTCTAAATTTTCTTCCAGGTTTAACATTCTGAGAGATGGTAAATATTATACTTTAGTTGAATATTCCAATGGATATTAATGGACAACATTGATGTTTACTAATTGATTTGGTTTTTTTTTATAAGTAGTTCTTAAATACTATAGATATAACTCAATAAATGGGAGGGAAAAAAAGGACAAAAAGAACTGAGAAAACACAAATTGTTCCTATTTTGGGATATGTAATGTACATTTCCCTCTTACGCAGTTATCTTTTTCAATGCTTTTGAATTCAAGATAGTTGTCTGACCACTAAGTCAAATTGGGTGCTCAGATGTTATATCAAAGAATATTGATTAGTTCTTTGAGAATTATCTTTTTTCTGACCCTCCAATAAGGGAACACAATATTGGGCTGTGTAGTAAACCCATACCAAACTTCTCAAACAAGTGAAGGGGTGTTAAATGTCAGGGAGCACAAATACTAATCCCAAGGGCAAGATATGAGTCCTTTATGATCAATGCCATGGTCTAGGAATGCAATTAAGTCACCCAAACCATTGCTGAAAAAAATCAATTCCAATCCTTTGAAGATTTTAGATATTTTCTCCTCCTAGAGTGACTGTTTCAATGCTGGGATGAATGATTCCTCATTTCGGTAAAACTAAGAGCCTTTGGATGGTTAAAAGACAACTATAATTTCACTACTGGTTATCGTAAGTTGTAGGGTTTATTTTTTCTGAGTTGCTCCATTTCTGATTATTTTATTGTTGATGCCATATACTCTATCTATTTTCATAAGTCAAAGCAGCTTTCTGGCTGCTACATTATTTCAATATTTTATCAAAGATATAAGGAGGATGGAAATCGCAGATGGTGATAAAAATGATGAAACACATAAGAACTAAATGAGGAAAAGACAGATGGCCTCTCTTGGTCCCTTCCAGCTCAATAATTCTTGCCCTTTTCTGTAATAATATAGTATTCCAGAAATACTTTATTTAATGCAACCAATACTGATGAAGAATCTACTTTGTTAGGGATGGAAGGATGAAATAAGATACAGCCTATGCCTTATGGCAGCTAGCAACATAGTAGGGAAACATGGCATGTGCTCAAATAATTATAATACAAGAATGAATGTGATAAGTACAAAGAAAGGTTCTTGTAAGGTGCTATGACAAATTTGTCAGAGGAGAGACCACTTATTTTTTACAATTGGGTAGAGGTGAGAGTCTTCAGATCTTGAAAGAAAGGAGATTTCCACATACAAACATGAAGGATAAACCATTTCAGAGATGAGGAGAGGAGCCGCAAAGTGACCAAGGAATGCAGATGGGAGAAGTCAGAATAAGGGCAGGGAGGGGTAAGTAGTCTGGTTTGGCTGAGATATAAGGTATATAAAAGGGAATGTTCTAAAATCAGACTGGAAGGTGCTGGACTGTGGGGATTTGTGAATGCCTGCATAGGAACTTTATTTTATTGAATAGGCTATGAGGAGCCACTGAAGATTTTTGAATAGAGAAGTATATGATCAGAGTAATGTATTAGGAAGGAGATGGGGGCAGCACAGAGAAGGATGGATTGGAGAAAGGGGCAGCCTTGAAGCAGAAAGATCAATTAGAAGGCTATTACTATGGTCCCTGTGAGAGGTGATAAAGGCCTAAATTAGGTTGTTTCAGTGAAAATAGAGAGGAGAAAGTATGGGATAAATATTGAAGGGGTTGAATGGAAGTAACTTGGAAAGTGATTAGATACAGGGGGAGACAAAGAGGAAAAAATTTTAAAAAATGACTTTGCAGTTGTGGACCTGGGTGATGGAAAGTATTGTGGTATCATCTGTAGAATCAGAAAAGCTATGGGAGGGGATAGGTTTTGGGGATAAACTTTTAAATTCAATTTTGGACATACTGAATATGAGCTGAGAATGAGACTCCAAAAGGCAATTGGAGGTGAGAATATGAAATTTGGAGAGAAATTAGGGGAAGAGATAGAGACTGAAAGGAGAAAAATGGAGAGGAGAAGAGGAGAGAGGAAAGGAAGAAAGAGAGTGAAGACAGAAGGAAAGGAGAAGAAGGAAAGGACAGGAGGAAAGGGGAGAAGTCAAGAGAAGAGGGGAAGAGGAAGGAGAAAAAGAGAGGAGAGGAGGAAAGAGGAAAAGAAGAAGGATGGAGGGTGAAGACAGAAGGAGAAGAGAAGGAGGAAAGGACAGGAGGAAAGAGGAGAAAGGAGAGTGGGGGAGGAGAGGAGAGGAGGAAAGGGAAGAAGATAAGAGAAGAGGGGAAGAGGAAGGAGAAAAAGAGAGGAGGAAAGAAGGGAGGCGAGGGGAAGGGGAGGAAAGGACAAAAAGGGAAGAGAGAATGAAAGAAGGAAGAAGGGGGAAGGAAGAATGGGAAGATAAGATAAAAGGGGAGGAGAAGAGGAAAGGAAGAAAAGAACAAGAACAAAACTTTGGAGAACAATCCCAATCCATCAATGGGCTTATCCTCAAAGCCTTTCCAACCTAGTAGTACCTGCCATAATTTATGCTCCTATCCCATACCTTTGGAGAACCCAGGATCACCCCCAGTAGAGAAAAAATGTTATCATAAATTTATATTAGAGGAATACCCATGGGAAAAATCACTTCAACTCTGCCTATAGATAGATTTACCTTATACAAAACAGATATGGCCTCTTTAGATCCGGTACTAATTCAAAGAGCTAATTATTCCAAACTAGGGGAGAGTACTTGGACCACTGTATATTTTTCCGCAGATGTCTCCTAATGTCCTATTTTACATTCATTATTTTATGACTCTGTAGGTTAGGGTAAAGTACCACATGAAGATAAAGGAAGAGACCCACAGGCATTCACTGTTCTGTTTATCCTGACAGCAGAGGGCAGCAAATTTAACAAATGAAGATGTTCAGCAGGACAGTGTCACAAACACTAAAGTAAAATGATGAGCCCAGATTGTGAGAGAGCTATCTGAGGAAAGCTGGATTACCATGTTCAGAAAAGGAAGTATTTTTGATTCCGCTGAAAAGCAGCATTGTCAGTTATTGCCCAGATGAATGGAGGATGGCAGAAATATGCAGAACATGGATGAACATGCAATCCAAAATAATGTATATTTAACTGCTTTTCAATCTCTCCTTTGTGTTAAAGAAGAGTAAAATCAGCCTTTATATCGTTCGTCCATAAACCCTACAGGTGGCTGATCTGATTATGCATTCCAGTAAACAATCTGGGAAACTCTATACTTGGTTAACTGGCTTACTCTTTTATTATTCAGGTTACCAGATAAACATCTTAAGTTTTCTACAGTTAAAAAAAATAAAGACTGAATCTCCTTATTTGTCCCCGGCTGCATATAAATACAGGGATTACTCACAGTCCCAATCCCACTCTGATGAGTATGGAAATTAAAACTTGCGTTTCAACATGGGCCATTTGCCCTTCCTTAGACAGCCTGGTTCACCACAACTCTAGAGGGCTTACCCTATAAATGCTGATATGTTGCAGCCCATTTTAGCTTGGAATTCTGGAGCTCAAGCAATCCACCAGCCTCAGCCTCCTTAGTAGCTGGGATTACAGGCATGAGTCATCATGCCTACCTACACTGTCATTTAAATAACACGCTTTACTGACAAACATACTAACAACTGTCACTAAATTTTTTGAGAGCCTTTTAATTCCGCCTCCACAATGCTATATCAATCTGATTCTTGTTAATATCATTACTCGATTTAACAAACATTTACTCATAACTTCATCTTGGAAAACAATGACCAATTAGGAAAACAAAATCCTGATTTCTCTATTACCATGGCATGAAGCAAGCTCTGGGCCTTAACTGGCTTATCTAGGAACGTACCAGATACTGAAATAGACTTGTGATTCCTTGGTTTGTGTGGTCCTTTTACAGGAGAGGACCAAAACTATATCTTCTAAATGGGATATGAAGTTTTCATCATTCTCAAAGTACCCTTTGGGAGAAACCAGGTTCGGGTGTTCCTTTGAGGAATAGAATATCACAGTATGGAAGCACAGTATTGATTTACAGCCAAAGTCTGCTTAACAAAACTTCCAGGTCTTTGCGAATATTTTACAAGATCAAATATTGGACTCTTGTTTTCTAAGTTTCTAAATTTGTACCCAAATATGCACAAATAATTTTAAATCCCCCCCTTTTTTTTTTGCAGTGCTAATCATTTCCTTTCCAAAGAGGCTCTTTCCTGCTTAGAAATGTCAGACCTTTCCCCAATACAGCAAATATAGTAAAGCACAAAATGGAAACTGAGTATTGAGTTCTTAACCCTCCTAGCTTACAGGAGCTTCCTAACCTGTGAATTCAAGACAGCAGCACTAAGTTATTTTGCTGTTATGAAGACTGGGGAATAAAATTGTTATTGCAAATTTTACAAACATTTCATACTAAACTCATGAACAGTAGAATAAAGGCCTATGCAGCTCTATGGAAGGAGGCATATAATTAGATCAAGATGCTGGTTTGCCATGTATGTATACATACACATAAATATATATGTGTGTGTGTATATGTAAATAAGTGTGTGTATGTATATAAATGTATATATAAGCATATGTCTGTGTGCGTGTGTATATACACACGCACACACACACACCTTACAAGCTGAAAAAGATAAATTAATGATAGGAAAATGCATATAATTACAGATGCTGTAGTAGCTATCTGGTGTAGTATATGTAATATACTTCTTCATTTAGTTACAGGGAGCTAGGCAGTACAGTGAATAAAGCTGGACTTGGAGTCAGGAAGACCCAAGTTCAAATCCTGCCTCAGACATTTATTGACCCTGGGGCAAGTCACTTTTCCACGGTCTGCCTCAATTTCTGCAACTGTAAAAGGGAATCAATGATAGCACCTACCTCCCAGCATTGTAAAGATAAATTAAATGATATCTGTAAAGTGCTTGGGAAACCATAAAGGACTATATAAGTGCTAGCTTTTATTATTGTTATTATATATCATTTAAAATGTATGCAAATTCCTTGTTCTAATTATCACATAAAGGCGTGGTAAATTTTTCCATTTCCTTATGTAAACAAATGAGATTTGAAAAGAAAGCATTCACATAGTTGTTATATTTTTGTTAGTATTTGTGCTACATAATATATGAGCAACACTACAGTCATTCTGCACAGTTACAGTTATTGCAGGGACCCTATGATAATATAGTCTCCTAAGAATTGGCAAAAGGCATTTAAAAAAATTATGAAGAAAATTCTTTCTATTACCATTTCCACATTCCAAATCCTCAAAAAAAAAAATGGGAAAATCACACCCCACCCCCCCTTGTTAATATTAACACCTCATTTGTGGACAGGTTATATGTATCAGCGTAATTTCTGAAGCACTGTGTGCTTCTATGAGAAGAGTTCTATGCTAGGCACTGGGGGGAGCCATAGATGTAGAAAACAAGCTCATTCTCATGAAATATCCAGAGGGATAAGACCTCAACCTGAGAGCTATGAAACACTGTTAAATGAGAAGCAAATTATAATGACAAAGAAAGCACTGAGTGCTATGTGAGGGGGAATGGCATTCTGTGAAGCAGTGAATTGGAGGGTGTGGCTCATGGAAAAGGTAGCATGTGGATGGCACTTTAAAGGACAGGAAGTCAATGAGTAATTGTGGCTGGGAGGAAATTCCAAAGTGAACAGCATAAACAAAGAAAGGGGTGATAGGGGAGCTGTCAGGCACCTCAGCCACTCCAGTGGGAGAGATGTTTTGAGGTAAAGGACCCTTCCCGGTGCCATTCAATTTATATGGTCGACCTAGCTACCTACTCTGCCCATCTGTAAGATCAGCTCAACAACACTCCACCCAGTTTACCAATAACATATAGGAAACGCCTGATAAAAGGTGAGCATTAGTCCTATTCCACCATACTAGGATAATGAAAGAATATTGATGCGATTTCAGCATAACATCTGCATGCATTATTAGAGCCATAATTAGTTCAGTTTGAGTGATTCTTATTTTTAATGGAAATTCTTTATTTTGTAAAGTTAAGAGATGGCAACATTTACTTTCCAGCAGAAGGGACAAAATGGTCCAAACCAATTATTCAGTTTTGGCGAACGTAAAGGTCTCCGGATCTCCACTACCCTTTTCCTATTCTGTATCGAAATCTAATGTGTGCAATTTAAATTTACAGTGCAGGCCACTCATCAGTGCAATTATAATCTGTTCTTAAAATGGTATGGTCCCACAGTTCCTGAAGATAGATTACTTATTTGTTGATGCTTCATAATCCAAGGAGACTAAGAAGTAAAAACATTCTTCAGGCTTTTGTTAGTTTTATTAGACATGCTTTACCGGAACCATACACTCTCAAATACAACTCAGTCAACAAAAACTAGGGCATATAAGACTCTATGTCTCAAAGCATTTTCAAAACAAGCTGTAAAATATAATAATAATAATAATAATAATAATAATAATAATAATAATAATAATAATAATAATGATAAGGAGAAGAAGAAGAAGAAGAAGAAATCCCCTGAATTCATAACACTTTTCTTAGTAAACTCCTTGAGGGCAGAGACTGACTCTGCATCCCCAGTACCTAAGACAATAACTTGCACTTAGAAGGTGCTAAATATGTTTGTTTAATTGAATTATATTCAAGGTTTTAATTTTTTAAAAGTCTCCAAATTCACAAATGCCTGAGACTTTTTTTTTTTGCAAGGCAGTTGGGGATAAGTGACTTGCCTAGGGTCACACAGCTAGCAAGTGTCAAGTGTCTGATCTGAGATCAGATTTGAAGTCAGGTCCTCCTGACTCCAGGGCCAGTGCTCTATTCACTGCACCACCTAGTTGCTCTTATGTCTGAGACTTTTTAAAGGCATGACATAAAGTGGAAGGTGTAAATATTTCTGAAAAAGGCAAGATGTTGCTTTAAATTCATAGTAAGGTATAAATAGCATATCGGGTCCTTTCCTCTAAAAGTAGTTTTTGAAAGGATAGGTATCACACACATATCATATACATAGCAGAGGGTTGGGCAGGAATGATGCACCATCATGGTGGGGTGGGGAAGAAGAACTCTGGGAGAGCAGAATGGGGGCATCAAAGGTAAAAATAATCCCACTTTACAATTTTACCCATAATCTGCTCTGATAAATGGCATTAAGAGGTTCCAAATGTTGGTTTTTTTCTCCTGCCTGTATTTGCCTGCATCAAGTTAGAGAGAATGTTAAAATGAGGCAAGGTTAAAAATAATTCTGACTCACCAAACTGACAACTAACCAGGAAGCTTTTTGTCTGTGCACATGAAGGGGAAGGATTTGTTAAGAGCTGATAAAAAAAGGCATCTAAGAAATTCACTTCAACAGAGCCAGACGGACAGAAAGGAAGCTACATTGAGAAAAAGCCAATGCCCGTATGAAACAATGGATGAAAGGGCGATGTCCACACAATTGGCCCCAGACCCCCAATTCTGGACTGTGGTTCTGAGATCTTAGTTTTGTTTGTTTTTTTTTTAATCTTCTAGGTATTGCTACTGTTGTAGGTCCTGGTTTACTCTCTGCTGCTTTATTCAATTGCTGTTCTACAGATACAACACCAGTGAGGCCATCAGTGTACAATCTATCAAGGTTAAGATACACAGTTCATATATAGGATATCTATCTATCTACATATACATACATAGGTATATACATACATGCATACATATGCACACAGTCAGGTTGCTTCTTCTGAAATAACTCATAAGAGGGAAAAATCTACATTTTTTTCTCTCATTATTAATAAATGACTTGACAACTGATGCAGATGAAATTTCTATAAACATGTGGCAAATGAAGAGTTGTACCATTTAAATGTAATTAAGACAAGCTGTTCAAATGACTGGAGGAGATAATGAGGTGATTTTTAAATAATGCAAAGATGAATCATTTTCATGGCAAAAAATGAAAAAGACTTGAAAATCCATGGTCTTTTTGGTACCTGGGAAGTCAAAACTAGTGTCTGCTATGGAATGCTTACCGGTCTCTCATGCTGAAGAATTGATGACTTCCCAGGTTCATATTCAAAAATACTCCTTGGTTCAGACCGAAATTTTCGTGTGTCCACTTTTCTGTCTGGTGGATCCCAGTCATGCCTAGGAATGAAAAAAACCCCAAAGGACTATATTAAATTAATTCCCTGTGTTCAGTGTAAGGGAAGAAGCTCTATTTAGTAGCCAAAGACATAGTGTATAATTTCAAATTACTGTTAGCGAAGATTCAGAACCATCATACAGAGAGAAAAGTCAACAGAAACAATAAAGATTTTCCCCAAGGTCTTTTATTTGGGGTAGTATTTTTCTGTATTTTTTTTCGAACAAGTATTTTCTACTGCTGAAGCAAAAACCTCCACTTAGAGGTTGCTGAATTGAGTGCATTGGAAGGCCCCCTAGGGAACTATGGAGAGCCCTAATTTCTTCTCTTTGTGTTTGGGTTTAGAATGAGTATCCATCTGAAAGAGGAAGGCCCTTGGCCTCTGTAAGTTGATGGCAGCTTCCCTTGCCAGCCTGTGATGAGAAGTAACCTTGATGGGAACTGGTATGTACTAAATGCACCTACTAGGTTTAATTTGTCCCCCTCAACCCCTTTTGAAAAAATAATTTCTATTTCTATAAAAAATACATAGGTACCACTTAGCTCCATGCAGAAACAAGCTGTGTAAAATTTGAAACCCTTTCCAGGGGTCATATATAAAACCTTCTCAGGGGGTCACCGTGTATGTCACCTAGGGACCATCAAAACCTTTAGCACTGATGAAGACACTTCAAAAGGAAAAATAATAACTTATATTCATATAGTGATATGGTCTGTAAAGTATGTTCTCCAAAGAATTTGGTGAGTTAGGTAATACAAGAATTATTTCTCCCATTTTAGGCATGAGGAAACTGAGGCACTAAGAATTCAAGGTACTTGTCCATGGACACATAGACAGTAGATGAAAGAACTAAGCCTGGAACCCACTTCTCCTGGTCTGAGATCTAGAACTTTTTCCATTGCCCCAGAGACCTTGGTTCAAATCTCACCTGATACTCCTTATCTGTGGGACCTTGGGAGAGTCACTTATTCTCTTTGGGTCTCAGTCCCTCTATTGGTTTTCCCCAAAAGACGGTGAGGCTGAGGGTTTGGGGTGGGAGGGGTAGAACTAGGTAGCCCTGAGGATCTGATCTAGAGCTGTGATTTGAGACTTTCACTAATAAAGGGAAGTGGTTCATAATTAATATGACATGAAAGAAAAAACTACTGGACATCTAAACTGGCACAGTCAATAGAGCTCTGGGCCTAGAGCCAGGAAGACTCCTCTTCCTGAGTTCAAATCCAGCATCAGACACTTGCTGACTGTGTGACCCAGGGCAAGTCACTTAACCCTATTTACCTCAGTTTCCTCATCTGTAAAATGCACGGGAAAAGGAAATGGCAAACTACTCCTGTATCTTTGCAAAAAAAAAAAACCCAAAAAACAAAAAACCAAAAACCCAAATGGAATCACATAGAGTCAGACACATGACTGAAAAATGATAATGACAACAAAAAGAAATAATACTGTACTAGGTAGAAGGAAGGAGGGGAAGAAAGAGGGGAGGAGAGAAGAAGGAAGGCAGGAGAAGGGAGGAGGGAAGAAAGGAAGCATTTATTAAGTGCCTACCATATGCTAGACATTATCCCCATTTTACAGTTGAGGAAACTGAAACAGAAAGAGGTTAAGTGACTTGCCCAGGGTCAAAGAACCAGTAAGTACCTGAGGTCAGATTTGAACTCGGGTTTTTCTGACTCCAGGCCCAATGCTATACCAGAACTTTCATTTACTGATTGGGTGACACTGGGCAAAGCCACTCTGAACTCTAGTTGCTCATCTGAAAAATGGGAATAATAAACGCACGTTACCTACATCACAGGAAAGATATTGATAAGAACTACACAGGATAAAGCGCAATCTATACCAAGGTTAAGAAGTAACCAAACTTGGATCATGGGGTATTTATTGCATCATGAGTAGTAATGATGATGATGCTGATATTGGCCTTTACATAGTATTTTAAGATTCACAAAGTACTTTTACAAATGTCATCTCATTTGGTTCCCACTATGACCCTGTGAGGTAGGTATTATTACTCTTAGCTTCACAGAGGGGTTAATTAACTTGCCCAGAGTCACACAGCTGAAGCATCTGAGGGAGAACTGAAACTCAAGTCTTCCTAATCCCAAGTTTACTTCTCCAGGCACTGACCCACCTGGTTGCCTCTAGGTGTGCCCCCACTGGTGTATATACACCAAATTATATCACGGGGTCAAAGAAGACACAAACTTCATCTATTCTACTTATACGTCTTTGTTTTGTTATCCTATTTATGGAAGTCATATAATGCCTAGTACTGTGTGCCAGGCACTATGCTAAGTGCTTTGCCATTATCATCTCCTTTCATCCTCACAATAACTCTGGGAGATAGGCATTATTGTGTTCCTTATTTTATATGTAGTTTTACACTTGTACATTGGTAACATGAGCTCTGTAATGACTACACTAACTTGTCACAGGTGCACAGCAGCTAGCCAATCACAGCCAACTCACCTTTCTGATTAGATGGTTGTTGAGTGACTCTGCCAGGTTGGTACAGTCATTACAGAGCCCACGTTAACAGCATGTATGTGTGTGTCTCTTTTTATATCTCTAATCCAACAATTTCTTGTGTGAAAGAAGAAACACGCCAAGAATGTGTATGATCAGAAAAGAATCAGGCCCCAAGACTAGATAATGCAGAGAAGCAGCCAACTTGCATCAGTAGAGGTTTCCTATACCAATAATACCTCAAGTATAGTCCCTATCTTTATCTCTTTCTCTAAGGATCTTAAAAATTATCATCCTAGTACCAAAGAGGGAAATTTCCATTATTCTTATTCATCATGTGAATTTCAAAAAGGAGAACCAAAGAGATATTTTGTTCAGGTTTCTTTAAAGTCCAGTTCTCAGCTGAGGCAGATCTCCCACCACAGACCATAGGAGTACCGCGTGAGTGTTAAAAGGAGGGTGAATATTTTAATAAGAATACTCACCTGTTTATACATACATATACTTACTCTGAGTTAGTAATAGGCCTGAACCTGTGGTGAATCAGCAGGAATATACTGCTTTATTCACTCCTATGTGGTGGATAAATACACTTACTGTGACAATTCACCAAGCTCACCATTAGACAAGTAATCCAAGCTTCTGGGAGAATTGTCTATGTGATCGATAAAGAAACAGATTCAGTTTTGCACACTGACTGATACAATTTCACCACCACCCTGTGTGAAAGGTCAGGGTTCTTTCTTAGCTGAGGCCCCAGGGCCACAGACAGCATCAGGACACAACTGACCATACCAGTTTTTTTGGAGAACTCCTTACTTTTCTGTGGAAGACCTGTCTCTGGGCCTAAGCGGTGGAACTGGAGGTGGGATATGTGGAGGAGGCAAAGGGGAAGAGGAATCCTTAAAGGCTTCACCGCCACTGTCAGAGAGACTTTTGGAAAGAGGTCTGTATGTCTGCATCTTTGCAGCAGGATGGGACTGAGTCGTGTAGGGAGCGCTAGGAAGGCCTGTAGGGAAAGAAAATAGATGTGAATTGTAAAATGTTTGCATTTTCATCACCCACAAAACAATCCTTAATAGTGCCAATTACCAAAAGTTAGTTATAATAATTATATATACATATTTTATATAAATATATAAACAATATATCTAGTATAATGTATAATTATATATTATTATAACTATAATAATTATTACACCTATATATTATAATTGATAAGGCTCCTCTGATGCCTCCCTGTGACATGGAGCTTGGCAAGGAGAGCGGAGCTTGCTGACTGACTATACTGAAAGGGTGGGGTCCGATAGAGGAGGTTAGCTCAACCTTCAGAGGTCTTGAAATGAGGATAGAGAAAAGGGGGATCTCTGAATCTCCCTTCATCATTAGTGATTAACAATCATTTCTCTGATATGCATTGTAAGTTGGTTTAGAAGACTGGGACAGTAACAGAACCAGCCCAACTGAGTGAGGGGAGTCTGCCCACAAGGATCATAAATTAGGCAGTGGTTTCATTGCTGTGGTTAAAAAAATAATTTAAGGAGGCAAGGAAGGATTACAATCTAAACTGGTGGAGTAACTAATAAGGATATGTATTAGTATTTATATAGCGGATAGGAACTAGACCTATGAATTTATTGTAGAGGAAATTCCTGGGTAAGAAAATACCTCTATCAATGCAGATTGGTCCTTGTTCTGTAACTTAATGTCTTTGAGAGTTAATTGGTACACTGAGAGGTTAAATGACTTGCCCAGGGTCACACAGTCCCAGTATTGCACCTGGGTCTTATTGATTTAAAGACTAATTCTCTATCCACTAGTCCCTTTGCCTCCTTATTTCTTAAAATTATAGATGTTTTCTTTACATGCCTCTTCTTTCCTTAACAAAAGCAAATTTTATCTGGATACTCTCTCCCCTCTGAATTTCTGTATATTTTAAATTTAGCCATGTTTAAATTATTACAGTGTTAAGATATTCTGTGCATAGTGTATAAAATAAATATATAATGATATAATTATATAATTGCTCTAACATTTTATACAGATGCACAGAATACCATAACATCATAATTATTCATATTCGCTAATTTAGCATATGAAGTAATTTAGAGAGGAGCCAGGATGACATTCACTTTCATTCAGCAAACCTTTTTAATATAGGGTAAAATGATAATGTAAATGTAATGGGAGATATTTATTTCAAGCCTCCATAAACATTTTAAAATCATCTATTTATAGGCAAACATTAACATGCTAATGAAAAGGTAATAAATCAATAAGTTGTAGTGTAAGGAACTGTACTAGGCACGCTGGTTATAAGAACAAAGATGTAAGCTTCCAAGAAGATGCCAGTCTAATTAGAGAGACAATTAAAGAAAAAAAAAAGCCTAATGATACCAAGTCATATACAGTAAGTACTTGTAAACTGTATAAATAACATCCAAACAGTTGATGAGTATTTGTTAAACAACTATTGTATACAAGGCGCAGTGCTAGACACCTGGAATATAAAGTAGTCCCTGCCCTCAAAGAGATTAAATTATTTAGGAAAAAATATGTATATAGAAAATTACATAATAAATATATATATATGTGTGTGTGTGTGTGTGTGTGTGTGTTATATATGTGTGTGTATGTGTGTATGTATATGTACACGCACACAAAGTAAGTGGTGGTAGTTTTGTTTGGCTTATTGATGTGGCTGAGATAATAGGAGAAAGATCATAAATGCTTGTGGATCTGCTGTCAGGGCTCCAACCCCTTTATGCTGAGGATTTCCTGACAGGCATTTTGGCCCAGTGGCAAGAGATATTATTAACAGGCGTGACAGAAATTGAGAGGAGGAAGTAAGTAATCACTGTGAGTTTGGAGGTGATGAGGTCCAGGCTTCACAAAATAGTAGTTGGACTGGGTACGGTTGTATGCGTTGGAGTCAGATTTTGGAGGGGAGGACTAAAAGAAATTCCAGGGGGAAAGAAGAGAAAAAGTAAAGAAGCAAATTCTGTACAAAACAAATAAATACTATTGTATGATTGGTTTCTGTAAATCAGAGTTTAATTTTTTAAACATTATCCTTTTTCTCTTAGTTGTCCACTATTTCTTTTTGTTGTTGTTCAGTTGTTTCACGCGTCTTCTTTGTGACCCCATTTGGGGTTTTCTTGGCAAAAATACTGGAGTGGTTTGCTATTTCCTTTTCCAGCTTATTTTACAGATGAGGAAACTGAGGCAAATAGGGTTAAGTGACTTGCTTAGGGTCACATAGCTACTAAGTGTCTGAGGCCAGATTTGAACTCAGGTCTTCCTGACTCCTGGCTTGGTGCTCTATCTACTGTACCACCTGGCCATCCTCTCTCCTTATAGGCCCCATTTAATTTTATTTAAGATTACTTCCTGAGACTTTGTGCCACACCATTATACACACATCCTCTGCTGATGAGAATGCAATAGCTCCTGGCAGGGATACCCTGGATAGGACTTAGCTGTAGTTCTCCTATGTTAGAGAAGGAAAGCAGCAGAAAATGCATTCCCCTGGAAGACCCCTAGTATGAAGCATAACCCCTAACAATTCCCTCTGAACAAACTTCTGCAACAAATAGGGGGAGTGTGTATTGAGCACCAAACTTGGAGTAGGAAAGCCCTGGGTATGAATCTTGCCTCAGACGTTCATTAGCTGTATGACCCTGGGTCATACCCTTAACTTGCCTCAGTTCCCTCACCTTTAAAAAAGAAAGAGGTTAGACCACATGGCTTCTGAGGTCCTGCCCAGTCCTACCTCTAGAATCTTGTGATCCTGAGCACACAGAACAGTAATGATGTGTGTCCCATGGCTCCATTTCTCTCTACAGGCATATTTGCTGTTGAGATGCTTCACTCGCATCTGACTCTTTGCAGCCCCATTGGGGTTTTCTTGGCAAAGATACTAGAGCGGTTTGCTATTTCCTTCTCTAGCTCATTTTGCAGATGAGTAAATTGAGGCAAACAGGGTGAAGTGATTTGCCCAGCATCATTCAGCTAATGAGTATCTGAGGCCGGCTTTGAACCCAAGAAGGTGAATCATCCTGAATCAAGGGCTGGCATCCTATTCACTGTACCACCTAGCTGTCCTCCTGTACCACCTACCTGCCCTGCAGGTATATAACCGATTATAAATAATATACATTCAGCATGAAAATAAAATTAAGGAACTGAAAAGACTTTTCTACTCCTTTCAGATGAGAAATACATGTTCCTCACACCCAGGGTCAACCAAGTTCATTATACTGACAAAAAGAAGCACCAATCTCAGTGCAATAAACACCTATTGAGCTAGGTCTGGAGTAGTGTGCTTGGCAGGGAGAGAGAAAAGAAAAAGTCTCTGCCCTCAAGAAGTTTGTTGTCTGGCAGGAGATATGAGACCCGGGCACAAAAACCCGACTGAACATGAGAAGTGCATCAAAGATTGTCTATCTTTGATATGGAAGGAGCTGAGAAGAGGGAGAGGCACCTTGGCCTTGGGAGCTGGTGGGTACGAGGCATCATGGCCTTGTTTCAATTATGCTGAAAAAGAAAATGGGAGTCAGGGGTGGATAAAGGTTGCTACAGAGGCTGGGGCCAAAGAAAACCTATTTAGAGACCTTCTCAAGAATGCAGATTGCTTAATAAAATATAAAAGAAGAATTCTCCGGGCAGCACTCTTAGGAAAAATTCTGGCAAGTATGAGTCACAAGTGACACCAGCAAAATGGGATTTCTTTTTAATGAATGGCTGCATTTGGAAGAAAGCATGAAAAAGGTCACAACACGCTCTGCTTGACTTGTCCTCACAAAGTATATCTAAAGAACATTCTGAAATCCTGATCACCCTCTTTCCGGATTGGAGAGCTTTATCTTCTGTACCCTGATAACACTGCATTCGTTCACATGATCCTTCATACTTTGGATAAACACTGCTGAACAGTATAAACCAACAGTGAGAGTAAATGAGGTACCCGACAAATAACCTGGTTTTCATAAAAAAAAGGTTAATTCTTTTGTTGTGTTTTCATTAAGAAGCATATGTGAGGCATTATTTTCCCCCACCCCTAGATTAAAGTCAAGCAGAATAATGAAAAAGTATCTCAGAAACTAAGAAACAAAAAAGGCAGGAAATTAGGTTGTTTTTTTCTAAGCCTCATTGAAACTAACAAAACATTCTTCAAAAATGAAGAAACAAGTCTTACCTGCATTATATGTATACGGAGTGTGATACATGTCTGTGTCATCATCTGGAAAACAAGGCAGAAACGTTATGGCAGCATAGTACCTTGTCTCACTGAGGCTGCTGGTCTTTAATAATAATAACATGCATTTCTATAATATTTTAAGGTTTTCAAAGTGCTTTGTGCATAACAACCCTGTGAGTTGTATAGTGCAAGTAAGATCATCCCCATTTTACAGATTGGGAAAGAGAGACTGAGAAACTTAAAGCATTTGCCCATGATCATGTAACTAGTGTCTGAGACAGGAATCAAACTCATGTTTCTGGATTCCATATCTAGCACTCCTCTGCTACCCATCCTGCCTGTCAAATAGAAATATGAGGTAACAATAGCACTATGGTGCCCTACTTTTTGAAGCCCCTCTTTTCTGTTTCAGAGCTACACCATCTCAGCTTTAGGCATCAGGTAGGCGTTCACTCTACATGGTTAATTGGTCTTATCTTTCCTCTTCATTACAGCGTCTCTCTCTTACTCATTCCCATTCTGGACACTGTTTTCCTTCTTTTAAGGGCCTTCAAGATATCTTGCAGCAGTAGCAGAAACAGACAGCTTTAAACTATATTCTATCCCGCAAGTTCTCATAAAAAAGAACAGCTTTAAAGTTGATTCATTAAAAGCTAGTGAAATTTATGATTTAGGACACAGAATGATGCTCTAGATGGGCAGTTTGGGGTCACCACAATCAAAATCAATATGTGGGAACTACATAGCTAGCTTAGGGCTCCTATCACAAGAGGAAGGGGGAACTAGGAAGATCCCAGAGAAAAAACTGCAGAATTTACTATCTTGCCCAAGTGAAACATGTTTTCCCTAAAAGCACTAGGAATTGTGGATAGTGGAAAGGTTGACTGGAGTTAGAGAACATAGATTCAAATTCTGACAACCACCTACTACTTATGTGTCCATGCGCAAGACACTTGCCTCAGTTTCTTACTCTGTAAAGTGAGGGTAGGCGGCTAGGTTGTTGCTAAGGGTCCTTTCAGCTCTAAGACTAGGATCCTGTGAAAGGGGAACACATGAAGCAAACATACCAGGTTTGTGAACCATATGGATTTGCTTGAACATAGTCTTGTACCAGTCCTTGGGTCTGTCAACTGTCTGTAAAACATAATTTTCAATATTTAAGTCTGGGGCCGTAGGATCAAAGATGATATGACATACAAATAATCAAAGTACATTCACCCTCAATATTCTGATTTCTTCTTTCATCCCTTTTATTAGTAGAAATAGCCCTGACATACAGTCCCATTTGGTTGGACCCTTCAGTGATAACGATGATCAGTTCTTTCATCTAGCTACATGATCTAGCTTTTTGTAAATGTGATCCTTCCTCTCGGCCTCATAGGTCAATTAGGTACCATCTTATTATGTGTACACGTGATGGTTCTTTCACCATAACTGGGTCTGACCCACAAGTACAAAAATGTTTATAGCAAGTCTTTTTGTGGTGACCAACAATTGACAATTGTGGGGATGCCCATCCATTGGGGAATGGCTGAACAAGCTGTGGTATATGATGTGATGGAATACTATTGTTCCAAAAGAAATGATGAGCAGGCAGACTTCAGAAAAACCTGGGAAGACTTACATGATCTGATGCAGAGTGAAGTGAGCCGAACCAGGAGAACACTATACACAGTAACAGCAGTACTGTGTGATGACCAGCTTTGTTCGATTTAGCTCTTCTGAGCAATGATCTAAGACAATTCCACAACTCTCATGATGGAAAATGCTATCCACATCCAGACAAAGAACTAATGGAGTCTGAATGCAGATCAAAGCATATTATTTTCTCTTTTTAAAAAATTTTTTTTTGTCTTCTTTCTCATGGTTTTTCCCTTTTGTTCTGATTCTTCTTTCACAACACGACTAACATAGAAATATGTTTAATATGATCATACATGTGTGGCCTATATCAGATTGCATGCCTTCTTGTGGAGGGGGAAAAATTTAGAACTCAAAATCTTATAAAAGCGAATGTTGAAAATTAAAAATAAATAAATTAATTTTTTTAAAAGCAGGGTCTGGAAAGGACAAACTGATAACTGAACTCCTACAAGTACGGTATGAACCAATAAGAACAGATTTCTGCCCATGAATCATTTATAGCAGGACATTTATTGAGCACTACCTCAGGTCAGGGAACTGTCTTCAGAGTTAAATAATGCCCACTTTTTAACCATTA